GGCAGTTGGAAAGTGGGTAACTCTAACAGATGTCACTCGATGTGAAACTATGCCTTGAGAATCTTGTAGTCATCAAGTCATCACTTGTTGCGTCTCAGTTTCTTTGGAGGTTGTCTGTGTGGCAGGTCTTCGATTGCTGATGCATGCGTGCACTTCCTTCTTACCGGCCTTGGGATGGTCAATGGTGCTTCTGGGGCTGTGCATCACGATGGGTGGCCTCTCGATGGGCACCCTGTGGCCTGCTTAGATCTAGTCGCATGGCATTTCGTTGTGTTCTGGCGGGAATCGAAAGCTCCCAATCGCTCGCTGTCATGTGCCATCACGGCCGGCGCAGCACAGTCCAGAAAGTAGATGAAAATACTGAAGCCTTTCGGCCTCGAATGTCGGTTTCTTTGCAGTCCCTTGAATTGAGCCCAGATTGAACGCTACGGGCAGTGCATCTTTGCAGGTGCAGGGGCTTGAGTCTGTCTATTCTGCATGTATGCTTCCTTGTGTTGTCGAGGCCGCACTTTTTTTTCAGAAGCAACGCCAAGTCCCCCCCCCCCCCCCCACCAGGTGAGGTCTAGCTAAGCCTGGCCCCGTGTACGTTCACGCAGCGTAGGATGGATGCATTGAAATCATTCAACGGCGCACGGCTCTGCTGTCTAAGGGTGCCGTCCCCTGCGCCATCTCAAGGCAGCCTCCCCAAGCGACATCGGCAGCCCTCCAGCAAAGGTTCCATGAGCCCACCAATGCCCGCACAAACGCCGAAGCGCGCCAGCAAGACGGCAGTGGGTCCTCGAACTAGATGCGAGAACAGGGCATCCACACATCCTCCATTCTCACCCGGCAGTCTTTAGGCAAAGGCCGGGACCTCACCGCCAATGCCCAAATAGTGCTCCATTCTGCTATGGACTGCGAGGACTAGCCTGCTTGGCCAGACTTTGCCAGCAGGCTGTGGAAGCAGTCTGCAGGCAGCTTCGGACCAGGGTGTAGGAACAGACGGTTCTTGTGGGGGAACAAGCCGTTGCGGCTTTTGGGGGTTGCCTTTCATGGGTCTTGAGCAGGATATAGTCGTCCAAGGCCCCACGTCCCTCAACCATTTCCACTGTGAGTGCACTAGGACGCGACGGCCTTTCGGGAAGGGAGCGGTGTTGGGGTATCGCGATGTCTCCAAAATGGCAGTAGTGTTTGTGCTTTCGGGATGTTGCGACGTGTCGCCGTGGGTGTCGCACAGCGGTGGTGTATGTCGTGCAAAGGTGGGAGGGTGGGTGGGGCGTATTGGACCGAAAGACGCTCATTCCCCGGAGCACGAACGAAGATAGAATCGCTTTCGCCTGGTGTGAGGATGTGTAAATGGCGGTAGCTGTGACAAACATTTCCTGGTCTTGGCTCCTTGTGTGTGTTGTCGACACAAGGATGTGGGAAACAAGGCTCACAAGTTAGTCGACAGCAATCGAAAGGCAGAGCAGGCACTAACAGCATCACAACGCGTTGCGTGCGTAGACGTAGACTTTGTCCGTCGAAGCTGAAATGAACAGGGGCCAGAGCTGTGCTTCACTTCCGCCGCAGAGATGCGTGAGCAAAGATTTCTACCGACTGAGGCTCCAGGACTTTATTCTGGATGAGAGCAAGCCACTGAGCGATCGTATGTGGATCTGGCTCCACTATGGGACTTCATACCGTGCTATGTACACATTGCCACATGGACTTGTTGAGCACAGGGCTTTTCAGCATGCGCTGGAGTAATGCAGCATGCCCTGGTCGCATCATAAGCGGTTCCATCCACGCAGAAATCTTGATGCTAAGCTTTGACCACCGAGTGAATAAGCGAACAACATGCACTTGTCGTTGCTTTTTGTCGTTGTGAGGGTACCACGTGGGCAACTTCTCTAGTCGTCTGAGGTACGAGATCACGTTTGCAGGGTCGTGGCCGAACTATGCACGACCAGTGCCATGCATTTTTAACCGGCGAGCCTTCTGCAATCTTCGGCATAGGTTCTGCATGTGGGGCTTTAGGGCAGCGGAATGCTCTTGAGAGAGTGACACCAGTAGCCATTGCAAATATGTGGCTTTCGTCTCAGTGCCTGCCATGGCTTCCCAAAGCCCAAGCAAAGTGAGAGAAGCAAACAAGAACATCATGGGCATAGCTCCATGCTTGTCCACCTTCTCCCCCTTCCAGCCAGACTTGAGGCACACCCGATTGTTGCAGATGGACTTGAGTGAAAACCCTAACGCTGCACCACTGGCAGCTAGCTGTTTCATCACAATGGCGCTTGTGGCTGAGGTGCTTGAGAACGTGAGCCATATCTACGTCCTGTTCTACATCACATACATTACTTTCATTGTCTTTGCCGCAGCATCCTTAGAAGGGAAGCACCGAGCAACACCGCTTCTATCCCGTGCAACTTGGTCTCTCAGGTCATTCGGGTAATTTCGGCAGTGTTCTTGAGTCAGACTTTGGAAGCCGCGAATAACGACGCGGAGATGATGATCCAAGATAGGCTGACGAAGAAGGCAAAATTCGTACAGAAGCTGGAAGGCCATCTTAGCATCTGAAACTGCATGCGTGGGCAAAACCTTGCTTTGCATCAAAGCATGCCATGTCGGTTATGCTCTGGCACGTGTTCATGTAGCAAGGTGTTTTTAGAGCTATGGATGAGAGTGGAGATGGGCTGCTTTCAGAGGACGAAATGATGCTTGGCGTAATCGAGCGGGGCATAGTGTGTCTGCCCTTGCCGAGTGCTGTTGGCTCTGTTGACTGTCTACAAAATTAAGGACTGACCTTCTGGAGGACCCGAAAGTCCAAGCTTATCTTGAGAGTCTCGAGGTTGCCGTGCCGGAAAGCAAAGCCCTTTTCCGGCTGCTGCAAAGCAGATCCCAGACAGCATTCAGCACAACTCGCTACACACAACTGGGTGGCTGTTTCCAAAAACGTCAGTGTTGTTGTTATGCTGACCCCTTTGCTTTTTCTTTCTGTGTGTTGTGTTTACCCCCTCTCTTTTTCGTGCAGGCGCGGCGCTTTTTCGTCTTATGGCCTGTTCCTGTGTGCTGAGTTGGTTCTGAGGCGATGGGCAGGTCACCTATGAGGCGAGGGGGCTACGCTGGCTGGAAGCTGATGTGTGGAAGTTCAGGGGCTCATTTTCTTTCAGGTTGTGGAGGGGTTGAGGGCTTAGATGGCTTAGGGCTAGACAGCAGATGAGCAAGACACATCCAGTTGACTTTGCTGTTGTGGAACGACGAGGACTTCATCGAAGGCATCCTGCGTTGCAAAGGGCCGGCTCGCGCCATGGACCAGCATCGTGGCTGCACCTTGTGCCCTTGCACCAAGCGCAAGTGCAGGTGCTAGTGCAAAGTGCTTGCCTGAAGCATGAACGGAGCGCGCGCGTTCGTGGGCGGGCGGGCGTGCGTCCGTGGGTGGGTGTGTGTGGGCAGCTCACTCGAGATGTACCTTCTTTTACATCTCCATGCATGCATGGGGACCGTCTGCCAAGCGTGGTTGGCGGTTGGCGGTGGAACGACAAAGCAATCACAAGCCATGGCGGCTGGACAACGGAACGTTCATGAGGTGCATGACTTTTTTAAAGCCTTCAGGGGGAGCATGACGGTTGGACAACGCTCATGGGGCTCATGAGACTTGAAAAACGCACATGGGGTTCATGACGGTTGCATCGTCCTCATGGGGTCCATGACGGTTGGAGAACATTCAGGAAGATTGTGTTGGTTCCAACAGGGGTCACGGTATGACTGCCATCAGATTTTCACTTTGGATGCTTTTCACCGACTTGTTGACCAACAAGCTGCAGCCGCGGAAGGCGCGCACATCGTCAACTTGTCTGACGTGCAGCAGTACCACACCTCACAGGCTGATTGCAGCGTAGATGTTCCTATAGCATCCCACGGATAGCAGAAATCTGAAATCCTGGACAAACTCATGCAGCGACTCTCATTCGTTCTCTCCTACCTCTTCACTGTGCACTTCTTCCACTGCCTGTACGCTTCTTCATGCTCTGTCTCTTCTCGACAAGAGCTTTCGCGCGGATGACAACAAACCAACTTCACATGAAATGTGTGCGGGGTGGGCGGACGCGTGCATCGGTGCGTACGTGCACGCGAACGTACGCGGGCGCTTGCGTGGGCGCACGTGGGCACGTGGGTCGGCACGGGTGCGTGCCCACATTGTGCACGTGTGCACGCGTGTGTCTTTGTGCCGAAGGGAATCAAACAGACCTTGCAGAGTTTAGCACAGGGCTGCATGTGACATTGTGCGACATGGCATAGCACGGTTTGTCAAAATCGGAGCCTCAGGATCGTCATGCAGGCTGAACTCCGATCCATGCAAGCCTCAGTTACGCACCTGGCCAATGTTGAGGTTGGAGCCGAGCACATTCCTTCCGCTAATTCCTTGATGTGCAGTTGAATTCAGCTGAGGCAGGTGCTGGAATCTTTGGAGGATGCAAAGATCATCGTGCACTCCCGGCGTTGTCGCTCTCGCGGACGAAAGCCGACAAAGACCAGACTTGCCGATGGGATCATGTCGCTCGCATGGTAAATGGGTTGGTAAATGGGTTGTTGGTGAGTCGTTGTCTTGATAGCCATCATCTGCCGCCACAAAGGCTCATGCAAGCTTCCACGGCGGTGGGGAGACCGGGGAGACGGAAGGATTGAGAAGCCAGCGGCCTCCAGACTCCAGAGGGGAGTACTGCCAACCCGGACCATGGCAAACCGGCTCCTGGGTGCAAGTGTTTTTGAATGCGACTTGGAGTGACAAACTCGAGATCAGCTCACGGCTGAGCCGTTAGTTGTGCCTGAAGAGCCACAACAAATTTGTAGCGGTCACAAGGTGGCGCAGCTTCGATAGAGCGGCAGCACTTGCAGCATGTTCAGCGGCATGTTCATGTCAACTGCGGCACTTACCCTACCTCGCCAGTGCTGGTCAGGTGCATACCTTACACCGAAAGGCTAGTGTTTGTGTTGGCGGCCGCAGCTGTGATCTCAAGAGCTAGCCTCTAGATGAGCAGATGGAGCCAAAGCCACAAGGCACGACAAAGGACGACCTTAGAAACCAGGGGGCCAATAGAATGTCTACCTCCCAGCAGGTTCCGCAGACCGAGCCCTGGACCCCAAAGGCTGGACGGCGATGCTGTGAATCATGAGAATATTGCCTCTCCGTACATCTTTGTATGTTGGCCTTGCAAACGTGCAGGATTGGAGCAGCTGCTTGCGTCTTTGAGATGCGACCTGATTCTCGGCAGAAATCCTGCTGTGCATCGTTCTCCTGTCGATGTCACAATCGAAACCAAGGACCCAACTTGGGTTTGCGTTCGAGAGCGATTTGCGCAAGGCTATTAGCCAATACCAAGAGAAGCTCGTTGCTTTGTTGTGCCTGGACCAGAACAGATACATGATTTGCGTGAGTGCGAGTGGCCGTGTCAAGTCTCCTTTCATGGCTTTCATTTGTGAGGCCAGGAGATGTCCAAGACATGCCTTGCCTGGTCGACGGGCTAAAGGCCGGGAGGCATTCCCAATTTCTGGCATTTCCTCCTTCCCCATGCTTTTTCGTAGCCGGGCCCACGAGTGCCGAGCACATGTTGAGCACATGTTGAGCCCATGTTGAGCACATGCTGAGCGCATGTTGAACGCATGCTGAGAGCGTGTTGAGTGCATGCTGAGCGCATGTTGCGCGCATGCTGAGCGCATGTTGGGCGCATGATGAGCGCGCATGTTGAGCATAGCAGCACAGCAGCACAGCAGCATAGTACCGCCACAGTGGAAAGGGTACCCTTATATACCCCTTATGTACCCTGTGCAAACTAAGGTCAGAACCCTTTAATGGAGGTCGGGGACTATATTTAAAGGCTGACGCCGCTGCCGCCGACCCCCAAGATAAGGACGTCCGGGCACCGGGCCCTCTTCCGGACCCACCCGCTTAACAACAAATTCGGTTGCTTTTGGTGGCGGGTAGGGGGGGGGGGGGGGGGGGGGGGGGGGGGGGGGGGGGGGGGGGGGGGGGGGGGGGGGGGGGTACGGGGTGAGGGTAGGGGGCAGTAGGGTGCAGCCAACACAAAACGCGTGGTTCCAAACAAACAACAAATTCGGTTGCTTTTGGTCCTTCTCCTCTGGGGGGGGGCTAGGCAGGGGGGTAGGGGGGGGGGGGGGGGGGGGGGGGGGGGGGGGGAGGGGGGGGGGGTTACGGGGTAGGGGGGAGGGGGGGGGGGGGTAGTAGGGTGCAGCCAACACAAAACGCGTGGTTCCACCCACTTGGCCGCCTTCCAAAACAACAAATTCGGTTGCTTTTGGTCGTACGGGGTGAGGGTAGGGGGGAGGGAGGGGGGGCTAGGCAGGGGGGTAGGGGGGGGGTTAGGGGGGGGTGGGCCACGGCGTGAGGGTGGGGGGGTGAAGCCAACACAAAACGCGTGGTTCCACCCACTTGGCCGCCTTCCAAAACAACAAATTCGGTTGCTTTTGGTCCTTCTCCTGTGGGCGGGGGCTGGGCAGGGGGTTCGGGGGGTGGGGGGGGGGGGGAGGGGGGGGTAGGGGGGGGGGGGTGGGGAAGGGGCTTAGGGGGGGGGAAGGGGTGGGGGGAAACGGAGGGGGGGGGCAACGAGTGGAGGAGGGGCGGGGGGGGGGAAGCAACACAAAAAGCGTGTGGAAACCACCCGTAGCCGCCTTCCAAATATACAACAAATTCGGTTGCTTTGGTCCTTCTCGTTGGGGGGGGGCTAGTGCAGGGGGGTTAGGGGGGCGGGGGGAGGGGGGCGGGGTACGGGGTGAGGGCACAAAAGCGGCTTTTTGTGGGGGGGGTCGGCAGGGGGGTAGGGCGGCGGGGGCACGGGGTCGAGGGGGGGTGAGGGGGGGGAGGGGGGGGGGGTATAGCCAACACAAAACCACCAACTTGGCCGCCGTTCCAAAACAAAAAAACAAACAAAATTCGGTGCTTTTGGTCCTTCTCCTGTGGGAGGGGGGATCGGGCAGGGGTTCGGGGGGGGGGGGGGGGGGGTACAGCCAATCCACCCCATCCGGCCGCCTTCCTTCCAAAACAACAATTTAGTTGGCTTTTGGGCCTTCTTTCCTGTGGGGGGCAGGGTCGGTAGGGGGGGGGGGAGGGGGGGGGGTCAGGTGGCGGTACGGGGTGAGGGTACAAAACGCGTGGTTCCACCCACTTGGCCGCCTTCCAAAACAACAAATTCGGTTGCTTTTGGTCTTCTCCTGTTGGGGGGCTAGGCAGGGGGCCCAGCCTCCAAAACAACAAATTCGGTTTTTGGTCCGGGTGCAGCCGCGTGGTTCCACCGCCACTCGGGCAGGGTGTGGGTGTGGGGGGGGGGCTGGTGGGGGGGGGGGCTGGGCAGGGGGGGCAGGGGGGGGGGGGGGGGGGGGGGGGGGGGGTAATAGGGTGCAGCCAACACAAAACGCGTGGTTCCACCCACTTGGCCGCCTTCCAAAACAACAAATTGCTTTTGTAGGGTGCAGCCAACACAAAACGCGTGGTTCCACCTTCCAAAACAACAAATTCGGTTGCTTTTGGTCCTTCTCCTGGGGGGGGGGCTCGGCAGGGGGGTGGGGGGGGGGGGGGGGAGGGGGGGGGGGTACGGGGTGAGGTAGGTAGGGGGGAGAGGGGGGGGGGTGGGGTAGGTAGCGGTTAGTAGGGTGCAGCCAACACAAAACGCGTGGTTCCACCCACTTGCTTTTGGTCCTTCTCCTGTGGGGGGGGGCTAGGCAGGGGTAGGGTGCAGCCAATACAAAACGCGTGGTTCCACCCGCCCGCCAAAACAACAAGTTCGGTTGCTTTTGGGGGGGGGAGGGGGGGGGCGCTATGGGGAGGGGGGTAGGTAGGGGGGGGAGGCCGCGCGGGTCCATGGGGAGGGGCACTAGCGGGTCCAGCGGGAAAGGTACGAGTCCAGCTTCTTGACGCCGACAAAGGGGGTCGGCGGATTAAAGGCCCATGAAACGACCCTTAGAGCGCAGCAACTTCGAGAATCAGAATCATAAGAAAGCTTACCATGTGTGGTGGGTGATAGCAAGTGAACATGTGAACATTTGCAAACCAAGGTCGAAGCGGATCGACTTCAGAGTTTCGCAGTGCAAGCTCAACTCCAGCCAATCGCCGACGTTGATGGAGAGATGCCTTCCTTTGGTGATGTGACATGGCCACATGTTCGTTTCGGTGCAATAGCTGCGTGTGCCACACTGCTGCCAAAGCCGCCGAACACATCCTGGTTGAAAATGAATATAAGCTGAAACCAGCGGCTTCAGTCACAACAAGTGTTGGTTCGTGGCAAGTGAAAGAGAGTTCGGCTTAGTTGGGCTCCGGCTCGTCTGAAACCAGGCGCAAAAAAAGAGAGTGTCGATCAATGATGTGATCAATGATGCTGCTCTACAAGACCCACGGCAGGCAGGGGTGCGTTTGATCGCCCGTTGAGGGGGAATTCTATGTCTGGTGCGGATCGCACCAGGCGAGCAACACGTCTTCGTGTTCGAGCCTGTGTCCCATTGAAGATATTCCAAGTCCAGTGCATCTTGGCTGGTCGTCTAGGGGCCCTTACAAGCAGGCAAGATGCTACGATCATGCATGTTTCGCTCGATCAGTGCCGTCAGGACCGGAGCTACTTCCTCGTTCTCGAAGCGCTTGGCAGCGGAGAGGAAACAATCCAAGCCCGCAGCTTAGAGGTGGAACCAACATGAGTTAGGAGTAACCCCGTTGAGCTGCAACCGCGAGACACTGTGCTTAGTTCAACTTCTGTGAACGGCAGGGCATCTGCCCTGATGAGCTCGTTGCAGGACAGATTCGGAGGATGCGAGTGGCACTCCTCTTCGTCTGCAGCTTATGGGGCTGATGGATGGATTCGATGCTCGGCCCTTCTAAGCACTGACATGCAACAATCCTGCAATGGGCCGCAATACAAGCAAGAGAAATGAAAAACGTTATGCCAAGGAAACGACTCGTGTGGATTGCATAATGGGAATACTGGTCGTCTTGCAACTTGGCCATCCAAGAGATTCTAAGGGTACTAGAGCTTAAGGGTAACTAGTAACTGGACCCTCTACAGCCTCTACACGCGCTGTGTTGCGCTTTTCTCCATGCCAGGAACTCGATTGTCATGGCTTTTGAACTCGAATGTGACGGGCAAGCTGCTGCAGTTTCTGTGGGGGTGACGCCCAGCTTGAGATGTCCAGATGCTGCGACCTGGTTTGTGGTGACCTGGTCTGCACATGTCTGCACCTGAGGTTCAGCAAATAATGTAGTAGGAGACCCTCTTTTGCCTGTCCCCCATGACCCTCTGAACTCTGGGGGTCTTGCTTAGATGGTAAACGGGCGTCAGTTAAAGGGGCTCTCGTATCTGTGGACTATCGCAGCTGAAACATAGCGCTGGCCGCCAGTGATGCCGAGAGAGCCCCACCAAGGCATCGGAGCATTTATTTACCTGGATATTTGCCGTGGAGCTCGTAGTCAGGCTTTACTTCATGAGGCACCTGTTTTCCATGAGAACAACCTGTTTGAGCGTGACTGTTCTCGGACAGTTCTTGGGAAGGTGGGTTTATTTTCGCGATTTGCTCAACTGCATCGATGTGCTCCTTGTTGTTCTGCCCATGTTGGACCTCTACTTGCTGACTCCTCTTGCTGGACATTCGCACAACATCAACATGCTTCGTGCATTGAGACTCGCAAAAATGGCTCGGCTCTTAGATGCTTTTGGCCTCTGCCTTCATGAATCGCCGTGGAAGCAATCAAGCCAAGGTTCGTGCCATACGAATCATGCGGACATTACGTCTTTTTCAAGGCACGCACAGACGTAATCTCGCTGGTAACAAAGCAGCACCAACACCCAATACGTGCCTTGCGTGATCTGAGGCTTGCGCCTATTGATCCAGGCGTGCTCGTCATTCTTACCGTCCCTCGCATGGTCGATGGTATTGCTGATGCTTGTGATGATGATGGGCGGCCTTGTGATGGGCAACCTGCGCCGGGCTTGCAAATCACGAGTCCCTTGAGAGTTTTTTGACGGGTTATTGCCCGCAAAGAGCTTGCAATCAGTTGCTGCCTCAGGCTTCAAGAATTCATCACGAATGAACACGAAGACTTGGACGCGCGTTTGTGGGTCTGGACATATTACGGAACAGCATACCGAGCAATGTACACCATGCCTCTTGCCTGGTTAGATCACCACAATGAACTGAATGAGGTTGCTGCACCTGCTCGCTTTGGGTGGAGCTTGAGTCATCGTCAGGTATGAGATCACTTTTGCTGGCAACTGGACCACTCGCGCCCGCCACGCCCACAGCTTGCTGCCTGTGGACGTTGGCCGGGTAGGGACACGACTTCCAGTTGTGCTCTTGATTGTTCCAGCAGAAGTCGGCAAGCAGCCCTGTCGGGCCGATCGGGCCTATATATGCCCCTTTCGCATACAATATTGGGCGCTCATCATGGTGGTGTGACCTGCGTCCAGGGTACTTCCAGCTAAGGTCCGGTGCTTGAGGATGTTGACCACTCATTCGTCATCTTCTATCTTACGTATGTTACTCTGATCGTCTTTGCAGCAGCTCAACTGCGAACAAACTGTTCCTGAGTGTTGAGTCTAGTCACATTGTGTTTGCTCAGCAGATCTGAATGCTACATGCGCAATCCAGGTGCTTCGCGTGATTACAGCGGTGTTTTTGCGCGAGACGCTGGAGGCTGCGAACAACGACGCAGAGCTGATGGTAATGGAACGGCTGCGACAAAAAGGCAAATACGTCAAACGATTGGAAGGCGTGGGCTGCACGGTGCAGCCTTTACCTTCAAACCTGCTCTGTAATCTCTGTATCCCCATGCACCACAAAGTCCCAAACATGCCTGTTTCATGCTGCAGAGGCATTTTTAAGGCAATGGATGCAAGCGGAGATGGTGTGCTCACAGAGTCTGAAATGCACCTTCGTCTTTGTTATTGCAACGCTTTTACCAGATACTTGTAGAAGGATGGCTCTTTTGTTGTGAGTTTTATTTCCTTGTCTCTGTTGGCCGATACAAGCTCTTGGAGTGCAGTGCTGTTAGAAGTTGGCTTCAGGACTGCTGTTCTACAGGATCCAAAGGTTCAGGCCTACTTGGCCAGCCTTGATTTGGACTTGTCTGAGGGTCAGGCCTTGTACCGCTTGCTGCAGAACGGTGCCTTGACCGAAGGGAAATGCCTGGAAGAGGGCCTTTGTGCAATCTTGCAAACTTGCCAGTGTAAGTAAGAAGGTGTTGGGAGATGTGGGAATTCGAAGCATGTCTTTGCAAGCTGACAGGCGAAGGCCAGGTCACCTATGAAGATTTCATAGATGGGATTCTGCGTTGCAAGGGTCCTGCACGCGCAATTGACCAGACACTTGGATTAACAGAGGGACAGACATGCTTCCGCGAGCGACTTCTGTCATTAATTCTGAAAAATTGAGTCTGTCATGTCCGTGTGGCTACGTGAGGATTTGCTTACAGTGCGATGTGAAAATGCTTTCTGATTCTCTAATGCTCCTCGGACATGATGGCAAAAAAGGTTTTTCTTCAAAGTTCAGCTCTACCACACCTAAGGTATTTGACCAAAGCACTGGAAGATGCGAACCTCATCAAGAAGACACGCAGGCACCCAGCCAGGCGAAAAAGCAAGCATCGTGTCAGTGTGGAGGAGGCCTGGTTGCACTGAAGGCCTTTCTAGCCATTTCTTTTTTTTTGAACTTGTCGAGAGCTTGAGATGTTCATGTTCGCATGACCGTGCCATGGTAAGCTTGTCCGAGGACGATGTTGTGCTCCTTGGACCACTTGAGGACTGTGGTTTTTGCTGGTTTGGGGGTCGGGTCAGGAATGGAGTCTGAGGGGTCGTGCTTCCTGGATCCGCTCATCGAGAAAAGCCAAGAACTGGTTAGCATCGCATGCTGGCATATCTTCATTTGACGCGTGTGCATGCAGCACAGAAGTAGACTGCGAGGCTTCTACGGGCGGCAACGAGACAGATTGTGTGATCGTGATCTTGCATCTCTATCCATCAATCTCGCGGCCTGGTATTTTTGTGATGGATGCGTTGGTGGCTGTGGATCCTGAAGAAGGTAGGTTCCTAAACATTGCTGGGGCAATCTCGCGATGGCCACCGCTGTTTCACTGTAAGTAGGAACATGGCCGCCCTGACACAAACTCGGTCAGGCAGGGCTTCAATAGAAGTCGCTTTCGACTGAAAATTAGACCACGCTCAACCGCAGAAAGACTTGAGCGGAGTGCATGTTGAGCTGTTGCTGCATGGTGCCGTTCTGCGAACTCCCAAGGCACATGGCCCCCATTGCGAAGCAGTAAGGAGCAGTGAGGTTGATTGAGTCTTGAGCCAGGCTGCTTGCGAGGCGACGCCCGAGGCTTCACCTGAGCCGACCAAGACAGGAGGCAAAGATGTGGAAGGCTGAAGCTGCTGCCTACGCACCACAGAAAGAGCATGAAAGAGCCATCTGAGCCATTGGCAAGTCGTTGAACCCTGTCAAATGCAGGCTTCGAGCCGACAGTGGATGCGGAACGCACGGAAGATTCGGCGAAGCCTCCGGATCCGCCGAGTCACGCTAGCAGCTAGCACGCTAGTGTTTCACTTGCAAGTCGCAAGAACAAGGTGGTGTGAACTTTTCCCCCAAACCTCTTCATGGGTTCTCGTTTTGAGTTTTTGCACGTGGCAGAGACGTTTGCAAAGGTGACGGGGGAAGGACGGGTGGAGGGGTGCCAGGACGGGACGGGGACGGGTGACAGGAGGGGTACGAAGACGGGAGGGGACAGGCGGAAGTGGACGGATGGTGTGGCTCGGATGCAGTGGTTGTCGTTGGTTGCTGTTCACGCAGCATAAACAACCTGTAAACAAAGTAACCTGTTTCTTCGGTGGCAGCGGAAACGAGGGCCACTGCCACAATGGAGAACCTCAAGTGGAGAAGTTTCATGCTGGCAGCACATAGGAACATGTGATATCGAGCCCGCCAGGTGGCAAAAAGCAGCGCATCTGGCATGGTTATTGACCTTTCTTAGTCCCCCGCTTCAGCCTAGTATGCTTGCATAGTTGAATCTCCTAATATCACCAGCCCTCTCTGCCGGAAGGAGTTATGTCAGCTCCTGGGCACATTTGATTTCCCAAGACCTCCCAGGTTCTTATGCTCGGAAGCACATTCCAGTGAGTACAAAGGCCAGCCGGTTGGCAAGGTGACTCCATCCTCTATTACGAAGCCTGCTGAGGTGAGGTTTGACGGCCGACATTTGCGCGCGCAGATCTCTTGCCTTCCGAAGAGCCACGCCGGGCATTCACACCATCGGGCATGGTGGGTGGAGGCAAACAGGGGTAGGTGGCCACACAAGAGAGGCGAATGGAGGTTCGTGGGTACTAGAACGGGCCCGCGAGTCTTTAAGAAAAGAGTAGCGCACGGCTGCGAGAAAATGCTGTTGCGGTGGACTATGCTGTTCGCGGGTTGACGTTCTTTGTGTCATGGCATCTCATGCAAAGTTTTCCAGTGCCGTTTCAGCCCTATGCTCAGGACTCGCAGTGACGAGGCGGGCAACATTCGGGGGCGTTTCTGTCGTTGCTATCACTTTCGCGAGGCAGAGCCAGCCGACGTGTCCGAGGAGCCTTGCTCCGAACCCTCCGGAGCGGCTGCAGCTAGTAAGGCCGATCCGCCGTTGAGGAGTCGGCACCTCTAGTCACATCTAGTCACTAGTCTTGGTCAGCGGCCACATGCCAGAATCAGGAAGTAAAGGCATGACGATTCAGGAATGGACCAAGGGGCCTAGGGGCACGCAGCGGATGTCGAGGTGATGGTGCGTGAGAGGGGAAGGTGGGAAGGGTGGGCAGGGTGGGCCGGGGAGCGAGTTGGTGGCTGAGGCCTCGAAGATGGCATGACAAGCAGACTGAACCACAAGCAAGACATAGCAAAATATAGCAAAGCCGGCAAAACCGGCAAAACCTTTCACAGAAAGCTCCTGTCGCTTGCAGGCGGAGGCTAAAGACAGCGACGCAAGCGCAAGCGAGGCCGAAGAGGAGGCCGAGCCCTGGGAGGCAAGGCGGACATTGCGACATTGCCGGCCGTTCTTGAAGATGTGTACCTGCTGATACCTGCAGATCTCTGCGGTGTGTTCTTGGCTTCCCGCTTACTCTGTGCCGCTCTTTGCTCTTTGCTCGCATCAGACCGACCTTTGCGGCCTGGATGCAGAGGTGGGGCTCCCAACCCCCGAGATTTTCATGTATTGTCCATGCAGTCCAGTGATCCAGGCAGTCGTAGAGGCCATTCCAGTGGAGAGTGTCTCCAGGCAGGCTGAGACTCTTGGCAGCATGGGAGAGGCAAGCCATGGGGTCAGCTTGGTTTGACGCCCTGAGCCAAACAAAGCACCAAGGCATGCATTGGATGGCGCGCAAATGTGCATGAAGGTTGCCAGATTGGCTTCAGAGGCAGAGGGCAGGGCTTTCATCGAGACAGATTCGACAGTCCACTTGCTTCCAGTTAGGCCGCAGGGACTTCCCGTTCCTGGTCGCAACTCTTGCGGCTCCTCACCGACATTGGACTTGTGGGGTTGTACTGCTGCAGGATGCAGGGCCACAGTCAAGTCACGTTGGTAGTCGAAACTAGAGCCTTTAAGGCATGTAAAATCCAGGGAAAGGGTGTCGGCCCTCGGCCGAGGTGTGGCACGCATCTCTTGGACAGTGCCTCGCTCGCCGAAAAAGAGCATGATGCAGTCAAACTGCAGTCAAACTTCAGACTTCAGCCTGAACGAGGCACGCACTGTGTGACGCAGGCATCTCAGAGCGTGGCAAGGCGGGGCAGCAAGTGCGGCATGTTCAGGTTTGGCGTGGGCATCTTATGGCAAACCCTTGCTCCCTGCAAACCCACGAAGGTGTGCCGTCAACGTCCCATCTGATCTGATCCCATTGTTGGAGAAAATCAAGACAGCAGAGGGTATGACGAGGCTGCCGTGCCACAGCTGCCCAGACTCAGAAGCAAGTCATTCTGGTGTACAGGCAGGCAGTCAGCGCGACGCGGGACTTGATGCAGTGCACGGAGATAATCTCGGAACGAGGCCTGGTCGATTCACGGAAGAGTTGTAGCCAGCAGACAAGGCAAGATGATGAAAGTACACAAATAGGTTAAAGGTGCAGCGCCTTGTGGCGCTGACCCACAAAAGCCCCCGCCAAACACTGGCCACGTCATGGGCCACGTAGTGGCCAGCAGGTCTCTCAGGCCGGCGTTGCACCGCAAAGCAGTGGCCTTATCTATGGCTGCCAGCAGACCTCGGTTGGCGATTGCACACACGATTCTTTAGTAGAATCGGAGGCCTGAGGACGCCTTATGGCCAATGTCCACGGTGCAATCGCCGGCAGACAGCCTGCTGGCTGCTATATGGCCACTGTTTTTGCGCTGACATGGCCAACCGACAGCTGCTGGCAGCTGCATGGCGACCGCTTAACAAGGCCGCTGTCTTCCGGTGCAATCGCCGGCCTGAGAGAGCTGCTGGTGTCGTTTTCTGGCCACAGTTTTGCGGTGCAGTCGCCGGCCTGGCAAACCTGCCAGGCCTGCCGGTGCACCGCAAAGCACCGGCGATAGGCAGCCAAGCCTTTCAGGCGCGAGGACAAATCCCATTTCCGCGAAAGAGACGTCCAAGACCGACGACAGTTAAGACCGACGACGGTTTCGACCGACGCCCAATTATCATTTCAAGACTTGGAGTTCCAAGTGGGAGAAGCAGATTGGCCTTGCTCTGCGTCACAATGCCACAAGCTCTTTTCACATTTTTGGATGGAAACTTAGGTTAAGCTTGCCTTTGTAGCAGGACATGATCACAGACCAAGCGCAGCCGTTATTTCGGTTCAAGGCGGAGAAGCCGAGCAGTGTGCTTTGCAAAGTGACACTCGCGGTGGTTTGTGTTTCCCCCACACATGCGACAGGAACATACGGTTTAAGATTGCGTTGCAAAAGTTACAGCGGCTTTCAATTTGCGACAAAGCCATTCCTACATCGATCCTTAGCCTAGTCTCTAGTCTGAGTCTTGAATCAAGAAGAAGGTTGTGCTTGGTTTATGATCAGCTTATGCTACAAGACAAGCTGAACCTAGGTTTCCATCCAAAAAAAGAGGGTTGAGCTTGTGGTAGTGCAACCCAAGACAGGGCGAATCTGCTTTTTCCCCTTGAAGTTCCAGGTGTAATCGACCGGGTATGCCAAGCAAGTATACGCTGTCGAAGTGATGCGCTTGACTCACAATCTTGGGCCTGAGACTTGAGACTCCAAGTCTCAAGCCTAGATTCCTTCGGCAGCTCCCGTCAGCCCTTGGGGACGACTCCAAACCTGGAACCTTCTGCGTTCAGCCCCAGGGACAGAGCTTCGAAGTCAGGAACCTGCGACGAATCCCATCACACTCGACAGAACCATGCGGTTGATGCGGTTGCAGGTTGCATCGAGAAAGGCATTCACGTCATAACGCATTGCTACAACGAGCTCGCGGTGTGCTCCTGACTTCTTTCGACGACAGCAAAGAAATGCCCTGCGCTGCTCGACACACTCTTTTGTTTTTGGCCTTGTGGGCCAGTGGCGGGGCCGACAGCAAGGACACGTGAAGCAGGCCTCAAAATCATGAGGAATCGACGGGACGGCTTTCCAAGTCGGAAGATCCGAGCCTGAAAAAACTCAAAGCTTCAAATGCAGTTGTACCAATCAAACAGGACATTTTTTTGTGCATGGTATGCAAGAGTTCCCAAGCTCGATCTTCAGCCTTGACAGCGGTGGTATAGTAGTGTGGTTAAACCTGCAGGCCTTAAGGCCACGGAGCTTTCCAACAGGCCATCTGAGCAGGGTGGACTGTAGCAACTGTGGGAACTGCACTAGCCTTCGCTGACAACTGGTCCCAGGTTGCTACAACAATCCAAGGAGTTAGCCGACACGCTGCAGTCGGCTTGGGCTCTCGGCGAGTTCTGTGCCGCTTCAAGAATCGCGTTAGGAGTCTGCATGGGTCTGATTGCATGGGATTCATCAAAGCCATTTTGTCGTCATCGGGGCTGTTCAGCCCACCCGCAGCTTGGCTCGTAGAGCGGCTTGACCACACTCCTGTGTCCTGAGTGGAGGAAGTCACTCGAGCTGCCCGTCTGCAGCGGATAAGCCGTTTCAAGATGTCTCAAGTATGGGTGTTTCGTGGAGCCTCGGGGCTGCATCTTCCACCGAAGGCTTTCGACATTTTCGGCTTTTGCGAAGGCGTCTGAGTCCTTCATGGAGAAGGAGCTGTTTCTGCAAGTAAGATGGTTGCTGGGAGCAGGCAAAGATTTGTTGGTTTCAAGGACAGCTGCGCTACACCAGATGTGTCCACCTCTCAAGTTCGACCTGAAGTGCCAGGCAGTGAACTTCAAGGGATTTGCACGAACAGCCTTCATGGCACGATTGCACTCTGCACAGGCGAAAGAGACGGCGATGCAAACAAGCTGGACGCTGTGACTCGGGTACACGACAAGCTTTTCCATGTGCCAGGCTTGCCAGCCTGTTTTTCAGAGCCCCCCCACTACAGACCTGAACTCAGGGAACTTCAGCATGATGTTGTGTCAGGGCATTAACTACTACCAATGAATGAGGCGCTGTGTGGTAGTAGGCGCACGGTACGGTGTAAGTTGGTATGGTGGAACATGTGCGCCATCTTTCATCCACGACTGCAAGCTCTTGAACTCAGGTGATGGACGAGGGCATGCATGGACATGGCATTCGCAGTCGGACCGCCATGCTGCCAGCTCCTCCAAGTGAGGAGGACGAGGTGACAGGCAGGACCGCAGTTCGTGGCATGTCAGTTCGACTAGAAGCATTAGCTGATGTTTTTTAGCTGATGTTTTGGGCTTAACTCTTCTTGGCGCCGTACTAGAACTGCCGTTTGATTTGAGGCAGTGGCAGCTTGAAGCCATCCAGAACGGCGATGTTTATTGGCCCGATTGACGCAATGGGCTGAGATGGAGAATCTTCTAGGACCCAGGCGACGTACAGTCGCCAATGTGCTCTGCTACATCTACACTTGAATTGAAGTGAGGACAAGGAAGTAGAGCATGCCGTGCGCTCGCGGACGGCGATGCTTCCAGGCCCGCTCAAGATGCCACAAGTAGCTGCGCAGTAGCTGCGCAGTAGCTGCTCAGTAGCTGCTAATGATCCGCCAAAGCCCCCGCTTCGATGGACATGTTGGGATGCAGGAGGTGAAGACGATGAGGTTGCTTCCAATGCAGTTTAGTGATGCGTCCATTGGGCATGTGGCGTAATGCCTACAGAAATAGGCTGCACTTCACTGAGGCTGAACATGCGCTTCGATCGCGAACAGCTATGTGGCCTCTTGATGCCAAGGAGGAAGTGGCAGGCCTGCTTCTGGTTTTGAAGGAGCATGAACTCCCCGAAGCTTCTGCCTGTCTCTTCGAGCCGGCCATTGCGCTAACTTACCGTAGGGCTCAACCTGGCAAGCTGACGACCACGTCGTGGTGAAGCAACGCGAGGGAGGTGCTTCTTGGAGCCAGAAACCTTTTGACCATGTCCAGAACCTGAGAACAAACTGCAAAAGCGGACTGAAGCCAACACAAATCATATTGTGTGACAGTTTGTGAACGTGACCAAAATATCACATGTTACTGGATCTGAAAGCCAGCGCGGCCAGGGTCAGATCACAAGACCGCGGCCACCTCCACAAGCAAAGCTAAGCAAAGCTAAGCAAAGCTAAGCAAAGCTAAGCAAAGCCTGCAGTAGCTTGCTCGAGAATGCAGCATCGAGCAGGCAAGCCAAGACCCTCCAGAACTGCCATGCTGGCTGAGGATGAGGCGTCCGCAGCCTAGTTGAAGGGTCCATGCGGAGACGGAAGAGGGGTGTCCAGTGTCCAAAGAGACCAATCATGGTGTTTTTTGTGGACTTGCAAGAATCTTTGATTTGCCCCCCGCCCCTTCCCTCCCGACGACCCCCCTCCGAAGCCAGTCATGAGGTGGGGAGCAGTACGGCGGTACCGGCATGCAGCCCGCAAAACAGGCATGGGAGGCATGAAATGGCGTGAAATGGCGTGAAATGGGGAACAAAAACAGGCCACACATTCGAAAGCACACCAGCGCGCGGGTTGTGCGTCATTGGTTTGAGCTCCGGGTTGATTCTGTAGTATCGGTTCTGCAGCGGATGTAATCATCCACCCCCCCCACCGGGCGGTCAAACTTGGCAGAAGAGACAAACATGTGCTCTTTTCCTGGGGGGCCGTTCTTTCGGTGTTAGCTAAAAAAGCAAGGCAAAAGCCACAAAAAAAATGACCGGGAGAAGCAGTGGAACCAGGAGGAGGGAGCTGCTTTTATCTGCTTTTCACGCGCACTCTTAGGCCGGGACCAGAGTCGAGCACAGAAAGCTCCCGCTTCCGCAGAATCCCAGCTTACGATTTGAGATTTGAGATTGATATTACTCTTGTTTGCTCTCTCACTTTTTGTTTTACATAATGTGCTTCTCTGTGTTCCGTGGCATTTTTGTGCAGTCCCATTTTGAGGGTTTGTTCTTGAGAGCTGAGGACTGATGAATGTCTTTAAAAGAGACTCGAGCAGGGAAGTGTGACGTTTGTCGCTTGGCTTGCACACTGGCTCTCACTGGCTCTTCCTTCTGGCTCTTCCTTCTGCCCTTTGGTATAGTTGGGGTTTTTAAGATGCTGAGCTGCTGAAGCATGAAAGGGCATGTCACCTCCCTCTCTCGGGTTCCCGGGATTCCCGACTGTTCACTGTGAAAATCCTGAAGGGCTAGGGCTGCGTTGCCCTGCCAGGTCTGAGAATGTGCCTTTTGAAGTCTTTGAAGTCCTCCTTGACTTGTGCCTTTGCAGGACCCAAGGCTGAATTGACTCTTAGCACGGGGTTCTGCCATGAAGAAGCCTAAAGGCCATGAAGGGCTGCCGCTGCCGCTGTTGCAAAACGAGGAGCTGCAGAATACAGAGATCCACTGCTCGGCGCCGACTTCTTATAACGCTGATGATCCGATGCTAATATGATTGGCTGTTGTGCTTTTCTGTGGCATTTTTTCTCCAACATCTTTCTGTACGAACCGCACGGTTTCAGCTGCCTACAGACATGTAGCTAGAGACTTCAGTTCATGCTGAGATATTCGCACGATTCGCAGCTGTCAAGCGTGCTTGCTTGGAACAGAAGGTAGTGGCGACAGTCAGCTCAGGGCTACCTGTTGTTTGGTGAGAGCTGTTGGTATCACGAAAGCCATATACCACGTGATGCTTGGCACTGTCGCATCACAAATTCGGCATGAGGCACAGAGGTGCACATGCTGTTGACGTACAGATGAAGCAAGAAACCCTGCCCCAGCACTAGGAAATCTCTGGTGCTTGGGCAGGGTTGGAACGTGTTTGTTTCGCGCGATTGTGGTGTGCCTTGCTTCCTTACATTCTGTCGACAGCTAAATTAAGAGACACACGGTGAGACTCAGTGCCCGAGACTCAGTGGCACGATTCGCAAGGGCTGCAAGGCGCTGACAGGCCGCTGCCGGACACAAGTGACGCTGCGACCCAAGTCGACCCCTTGACAAGAGTGCTTCAGACACAGCGTCTGCGAAAAGCTCCCGATAGTCCAATCCTGAAGCTACTGTTCTCAGATGCTTGCCGTTGCGCAAATGCCGCTTGATTGTGGCTTGTGTCGCAATACCTGTGGCTCAGATGTGATGCAGCACCTCCTCGGGCCAGATGCTTGCTGACCCCATTCGACGCAGCTGCGACGCAGCTGCGACGCAGCCGCCTTGCACTGCAAGGCCATGATGCCGACAGGTCGTAACGATGTGTTTTCTAGGTTGTCTGCAGCTCACCATGGCACTGCATCGTCTTGGTGGATAAGAAACAAGGAAGCCTCGTGACTTAGTGGTTCTTGGTGCTCTCACAATCTGAGGTGACATGCACAGCCACCGATGGAGTGCTCATGCAGGTTTTCTGTTCCACGTGGCTGAGCCACAAGCTCTGGAAACAGCCTTTCTCGAGGTTCTCTCTGTATGTCTGTGTGTGTGTGTGTGTGCGCGCGTGCGTGCGTGCGTGCGTGCGTGCGTGTGCGTACGAGTAGTGCGTGGAGTTGTTGCTTGGCAGCGTCAGATTTCCTGCTTACACGGCGGTGTCGCAGGCGAGACCAATTGGGCGAGCAACAGCAGCACAGGCGGCACAGCCGGCACAGGGCCTTCCTGCGCAAGAGATGGCTGCACTCAGCCCTCACACCCATACGGCCCAGATGCCTGACTGGAGAGTGGACGTGGAAGGTTCAGGTCACACAGTCCGTTTGGAGGAGTCTTCCTTGGCCGACCTGGCAGCCAGCTTGAAGTACCTGCCTGGTGCAGCAGTTACAGGCGGTGCGGCCAGCATGGCAAATGTAGTATTTGGAGTTTCCATCATTGGGCTCCTCGCATTTCAGGCGACGCGATCCACAGTGGCAAAGTGCTTGCCTCCTCGAAAACTGGAGCTGGTCCCTTCTCCCTTGCTGGAGGAGCCCTCACAAGGCAGAGACAGTGATGATAGCGACAACAAGACAGAGTGCACGAAGGCACAGACGGCATAGATGCCCACGTTTCAGCGCCTTGAGCCTGATCCTCGACAACCGTTCTGCACCGACACGTGGGTGCAGAGAATCGCTGCCCACGTTGAACAAGAGGCATGCAGGAATCGAGAAAAGATGCCCTCCCCGCAGCACGGTGTGAGCTGAGATGGGGCATTGATCTCGTGCAAGATTGCTGCTCGCCCAGGTTGCTGGGGCAGAAGAGATGTCCAGCTTCGCTTGCAGGACTTGGGGTTTGTCAGCTGCTTCGCAACTTGGTTTCAGCTGACGTGCGACTTTGCCAGTGCAGTCTTCTTGTGTGTGTGTGTGTGTGTGTGCGCCTGTTGGTGGACAAGGCATTGCTTTTTTGAATCTGCCAGTCCAGTTGTTCGCTGCCAATGCAATCCAAGCGGGTAGTAGAGTAGAGAGGGCAAGGAACGGAGCAACTTCCCAGTCCTGGACGCTCGTGCACTGAATTGCTGGCTTCCTAGGTGCTTTGGAATCTGGAGCACTTGTTGTTGCATCATGCTTGTCATTCCTTGATGCTTGTCTCGTGGATGTCGAGGCCCATGGCGGCGGCAGCATGCCGGGCCATTGGCCAGGCATGCCAACCTGCACCGGCCCCAGCGGGGTCCTGCAGAAGACGCTGTTCTATACTGAACGGACTGAAGCGGGTAGTGGTAGCGGTTGTGGTTGTGCTGAGCTTGAGTTGCATCCTTGCCGTGCTGGAGAAGCCGAGGTTGCAGCGGCGACCTCTGTCGTCCGGGGCGCCCGTGGCCCCAGACTGCCGACGCGTTGTGGAAATGCCACGACGGATCTGGACACGTGCCAGCCTCAGGGTCTCAGGGCGCGAGGGCCAAGAAAGGCTGTGGGCATTGTGAAATTTGTGAATCTTTGCACCTGGAGGCCGCAGCCAATGCTCGGCTCGTGGATGCTGGAACCACAGTGCACGATGATCCGCTCGGCTCCTGTTTGCTGTATGTTGGTTCTCTTTGTCGCTACCGAGAATTTCACATGTCAACCACACAGTGGCCAAGGCCAGTACCCTGGCTTGGCGGCGCTTTTCAAGCAGGCAGCTGCGCCTGAGGAGCAGGCAGATGCTGTGATGCTGCGTGTGAAGCAGGGCTGCTCTGCCAACACTTTTCATTCTGAACCTTTCTCCCTGGCCAGGAGCCTTGCAAAGCAGTAGAGGAGGAACTGCAGACCGCAGCCGCTGTAGAAGTACCTGCAAATAGCCCGGAGAAGCTGCCGGAGTCCGCAGAAGGGGGAGATGATGAAGCTGAGTGCAGTCGGCCACGGGAAGAGAGGTGCATCTGAGCTAGGATGCGTTGAGAGAGCGCTGATACCCACTGGTATTGTAGACTAGAGCTTTTTTGCCTTAGAAAGCGATTGCTTGTCCATGCTTGTCCTACGTCCTATGGATGTGCGCAATGTACGAGTTGGGACGCTGCCAGGCGGAGGGGGCGTCCGCGGGCTCCCGTTGCAGCTGCGACTTGGCGAAGAATTGACCTCTGAGGCTTTGGACGAGCCCCCAAAGCTTCTTCAGAGGACCGGGTCTGATCATAGATGTCAGTCGTTCGCTCGTTCGTGAGAAAATGCACGTTTTTTTCCCCCCGGGTACCCTACTTGAGAGACAGAGCAATGCCACTTCGTTGGCTCAAGGTCTGCTGTGCCTGTGCAAAGAAATGTGCAGCAAGAGACAAGCCTACTTGTGTTGAGTTCGGTGAGCTCGGCCTTTGAGACTTGGATGTCGCTGGCCGGAGAGAATGATTTCGCAAGCAGGCTCAAGCTGTCACGGCCTCGAATTTTTCAGGAAAGCCCGCTGGGTGAGAAGAAAAAATCATGGGACTATACTGACGATGAATCCAAACGGTTTTAGACGAAGATGTGTGCTGGATTCTGGATTGGATTAGGCCCGGCATCATGATGAGGAGCCCCTCTCACCGGAGGAGGTTGCCTTCCATGTTTTGGCAAAAGCAAGCCTGGCACTGCTGCAGGGTCGTGACCTGTATGTTATAGTGGAAGCCTCGCTGCTGCCGGAGTTGACCTCGCCAGCATGGCCCGCAAAACTGCTGAGCCGTCCCAAAATTTACGCGGCGAGAATGGTGAAGCAGTGCCCTCAACTGGACTCCTGAAGCTGAGCCGAAGCCCTTGTCGCCCTGGACCCACTGCCCGTGTGCTTGGCTGCGACCCCCCGCGCCCCTGCCCCCGTGTTTGGACGAGATGTTCAGATAAATGGGTGGGCTAGCGGGCGACAGCGGCAGGGTGAAAGGGGCAGGTCCCTCATAAACAAGGCGTCTCGGACCCCGTCGGGTAGGGAGAGAAGCAGAGTGCCCTCTGCGCGCAGCCGCCATCCACAAAGGTGAAGAAGCCTGCGTGGCGAGGTGCGAAGAACATTGGAGTGCGGATGCGTCATACGCTGCAGTTCCAACGGCAACGCCTACGGAGGTGGATGCGCCGCCACGGGCAGGGCTTCGCAGGACCTGCGTTCTATGGGAGGACACCTACAAATCATCGGCAAGGGGGCAAGGGCTGTCAATGCGGTTTTGCCTGCGCGGCCATGATCCAGAAGACCTGGGCCAGGGTCGCATCCCGTTGGCAGAGAGCTGACCCAAGTCAGGAGGAAAGGCAGCCTGCTGCAGCGGGAGCTGGGTTGTCTTCCACCCTGTGGGGTGGCCGAGGCGACGTGGCTTCCGCTCGGCGAAGCCATACAGAGTCCCGTGGCAGGCAGGATGTTGCCAGCGAGAGAGGGCATGTAGTTAAGACTGCAAACAGACTGCAAGGCACGAAAATTTCGCAGGGAGGCGAATTGCTCAGTTCTTTTGCGCGCGAAGCCAAGTCAGTGCCGCACGCCTTGTCTGCGTGCTGCTGCCATCGAAATCCTGTGAGAGGACAAAGCCTCTCGTGGCGGAATGGGTATCAGACACGACGATGACGCGAAGACTTGATCTGCTGCGCGAAGACACGGAAAAGTGATACCCCGCGTGAAGACGCGAAGACTTGAAAACGTGAAGCGGAAATTTCCGCGCGAAGATCGCGATCGAAGACGTCGGCGGTGTCACAGCATCAGCGTCAGCGGCGTCAGCAGATGTCAACGGCATCAAAAGCACCGCGTCAACGGCGTCATCGACCCCAGCGGCATCAACGGCGTCGGCCTCAAGGGCGGTGTCAACGGCGTCAAGAGAACTCATGGCGTCGACGCCTTCACGGCTCGAACGGCTTTACAGATTCACCGCTTCAACGGCTTCAGCAGCGTCAACCAAGCTACGTATTCTTTGTGGGTCGCCGTTGTTGTATGTTGAGTTCGTGACAGCACCTTTTTTTTTTCTCAGATCGTTCGTTCATGCCGTTCGTCCTTGATTGTTTAAAAAGAGTTGTGGTGAGGCTGCGTTGATGATGCGGGATTACGAGATGCGCTTGCGAAGCCTGGAAATGCAGTGCAAGAAGCTGAGCTCTTTCTGCACATCTCCGTGCCACATCGATAGTGATCGTTTTTATCAGTGGCCCCTGCACCTTTCAATTAAGGCCGCGAGCTAACCTCGCAGAATGCGCGACTCTCCTCGGAATCCTGGCGCAACCTTCGTGCAGCGGTGCTGGTTTCATGCGCTGTTCATCAAATACTCCAGGAACTGACGGCCGGAGAAGTGAAGCAGCAACAAGGCGGGCCCTTCCATGTGGAGCCTGCGCAAATCTGGAATGTAGGTCCTGGCATTTCGAATCGCGGGATGGTCGCAGCTCACTTGGAGCACGTGTGTGCACCTCGAACTCGGACCTTGACTGGATGCGGCGGGTGTGGGGGCGGGGACGGGGGCGGGGACGGGGGCGGGGACGGGGGCGAGGGGGCGGGGTTTCAGAGCTGTCAGGAAAATCGGCTCCAGTTTGACGTGCTAGGTGTGGCCCGTAAAAACGAACACTTGCAACGGGTATCCTGGCTGATGCAGTAGTTAGCCGGGGGAGGGACATGGACAGGGAAGAAGGGCCTGAAGAGCCTTGGTGCTCACTCATTCGCCTCCGGCCAGTTGACAGCGTGCTTCGATGTGTGTCTGCTTACTGCTGTTACAAGTAGCTCCCTTGCCGAGCCTTTCTCGCACTTCCTTGCCTGGTCTTGCGTGACGGATGTTCAGAAGGAGTCGCCTGCGAATGCTGGACATGCAAGAAGCACGCACGGAAGCATGGATGGCTGACGAATGGTTGGCCATGTGGCAGAGCACGATGGTGTTGTAGCGGTAGCATTAGAGGTCTGCGTGGACCAGTAGCTTGTGCTCACAAGCTTTTTGTTTTGTTGTCGGGTCATCCCCAATGTTGCCCTGCAGTGCGTGGCTGTTTGGCGGGAGGGAACAAAGCAAGCTGCAAACGGATAGTGCCTTGGCAAGAAGGCATTCAGAAGGCAGCTTGGCCGTAGCAGATCAGGCCGCGAGCTGAATCTTCGTCTGAGCCGTGAGGTGATGGGCCGAGTTGTTGCGTTTGTACAAGGTGCTTGTTTCAAGGAAACTTGCAGCATCTGGTTTTGTTCCTCTGCGCCTCTCCCTTTTAGGTGCAGGAGTTGCGCCGAGAAAATGCAGAGGCGAATGCAAAAGTGACCTCGCTCGAGGAGGAGTGCAGTGCCTCGCAGTGTTTCCATTGTTTCCCATGCACGATGCCGCGCTGCCCTTGAGGAACTTGCAGTGCAACGAGAGCTTCCGCCCCTTCCAGTACTAGACCTTCAGCCCTCATGCCTCGCTGAGGTTGTTGAGCCCTCCGGCTTGTTCAGGAGTTTCGGTTTCATGCCGCTCCTCCGTGCAGGGGTGCAGCAGCTGAGGCCACCTCCTGGCCTGGCCAGGCCTTCAAATTTGGCAAATCTGGATTTGCAGCAGACCCACACCATCCCAATCGAGGACCGGTTGGCTCACCAAGCTCGGTATGCGTCACGTGCCCGGGGAGCGTGCCTGTTTGCCAGTGCGTGCGAATGGCGAGCGCATCCATGCCGCACGATGATAATTAATGATAATGCCCATGTTCACAGTGCGTGCGAATGACCAGAGCCTCCATGCCCGCACGATTGATAGCGTCCATGTTCGCAGTGCATGCGAATGGCCATGCTCTTCGCGGCTTTTCTCCTGTGTAGAAGTGGGTGGCGTGCCGTTCTGGATGCCGTCCGCATCCACAGGCTGCGGCTGCATTGCATGTGCAGTACGCCACCAAAAAACAGGTGCGTGCTCGCCTTTCGTGCTGGCCTGCGCAGTCACTGCCGCACTCACTTCTGTTGGCCAGCGCGGTAACCGCTGTACCTCCCCAAGAAGCCCTCGTCCCAAGCACCTCTGTTTAACCTGGCAGGTGTGGTACTTCGTGCACGTACTAGATTCCAGACACAGCCATACTCGTACCATCTCGTACCCTCAACAACTGGCGAGAAAAACTCCCGAAACTTTTTCTCCATCTTGTAGCATCTGTTTTCGTTCATGGTGGCTGCAGAGGAGCCTGAGTCTTTCTGGGGCTGCGAAGAAATGCAGATGTATTGCCCGTCATTGTTACTTGCGCATCGTGAGCCTTACCAGCAGTCGGCGTCGCCAAAGGCACGTTGTGTTGCAATGTGTTGTGGTGCAGTGCGATGTCCAATGTGGTGTAAAAAGGTTGTCCACGTTCTGTGTCTACTAAGGACCTGAGTTTGACAACCGACTCGGGCCCTCCAGGTCTGGCGCGCCCTGCGCTGAATGGTCTGAGAACAGAGGTGGCGCTCATGTACTAGCAGCAAGCGCCGGAATGTATGGCATGCCGCATGTGTTTTTGTTTATGTGTTCAATGTGCTTGCACTTCGCTCGTGTTGTGTTCGCACTGTCAGCACCTGATTCAGTCTGCTTGATGTTGAACCATTCGAACTTGAAAACGCCGGCACCAGGCTATGTGGGTGCACACACTTTTCATGAGCCAGTGCAAATCCGCCAGGGTGCGGTCAGGTTTTCGCTGGAACAACGGCACAAGGTGACAGAAGGCAACTAAGGTGGATCGCGAAAGGAGTGCACCCTGGACAATTCGCCCACTGAGTTCAAGGCAAAAGCTGCAGAAGCAAGGGGCTCCGCGATCGACACTAGCAAGCCGACAGGGCTTGGATCATCAGCAAGAAGACTCTACGGCCTGATGCTGTTTTCTGCATGCCTCATTTAGTCCGGGAGGTGGGGAGGCAATGTCGTCGCGGTCGCCGTCGCCGTCGCCGTCCCTGTCGTAGTCGTCCTCGTTTTGCTTTCCTGTTACCGTGCTAGCAACATGTTTCATGCTGCACCATGGGCCATGGGAAATACTTTCGCTTTTTGTTTTTGTTTTGCCTACAGCTTGGTCACATTCGTGGCATGTTTTTGTTGCGAAGCTCTCCCCATGTGGATTTCGTCAAACAGTTGTCCGCAACGCAGGAGGTGCCGGATGTTATTGCGCACAGTCGCTGGACACGGCCGCGAAAAGTTCTACCTCAACGCCATCGCCGGAAGCATCAAAACAAAAAGCCGGCCAAAGCGGCAGTTCTTTGAGCAGCGAAGCCCTGTCGGCCGCAGCTCTGACAAAAAGAGATTGTGTTTCCTTTCCTTTGCCTTTTTGTGTGCTGTCTCACAGCACGGAAACCGAAGCATTCTCAGCGTCAAGTTGGTGGAGGACCCAAGGTCGGACTCCGCAGAGGACAGCGGCTGTAGTTGTCAGCAATTCTAATGCCTAGCAGTTGCCGTTAATTGCTGTTGTAAACTATTGTGACAGCAGAAAGCCATGGAAAACAGCCCGGTCATTTCGAAAGGCAGAGTGGAGCGTGTGTGCTGACCATTATGTCTTTGCCTTGTAGGCTTGCGGCTCGTGGAGCCACAATCTGTTTCCTTCCTTTCCGATTTTGCGGCACTGCCTGCAGGAGGGCTGCGTGCTAGCAGATGCAGGATGCAAACTACATGACTACGCCTTCTACACAGTAGCAAATAGGGACTTGGTGACTTCGTGGCCAGCAGGATTCACAGTTGGCCAGCATGTTTGCATCCTGCTGGTCTGAGTGCAGCACCGCACGATGTCAGCTTCCCATCTGAGCGAGGCTAGCGGCTAGCTAGCACATGCCTTCCCACATGCGCTACTTCTGTGCATGGCACAAACTAAAGCGACATCGCGGTGGCACGCAGCTTTCCTTCGCAGGGCCTCCAATGGAGCAACGCTCCAGGGTTTAGCCTCGACTCCAATTCAGCAATGCACCTTGCAGCAGGAGCTACTCCTAGGAACAGGCCACTTAGGCATCGACATCGGCCATTGCGGAGGCAGAGCTTCCAACCCTCAGCCCGCACGCAAAAGGTTGGACCAGCCAGGATGCGCGTGTGCAACTAGAATACGACATCTCTGAGGTAGCACTCTTGCATCCGAGCAGAGGATGGGTGTAGAAGGCGAAGGCAAAGCCAGCGAGCGTAGCGCAGGACGATGGCAAAAACGTACGAGGGCCTCGCAAGCCTCGCGCGGGAGACCGCAGACGCCACTGCTGCCGCCGCGGTGGCTTGGTTCAAAGGCTAGGTATGGACGATGCCGCAAGGTTCAGGTGAACTGTGCCTGTTACAGAGATTTGCCAAAGAGGTCATGGTCGGGGACGCGCAGAAGAATGCGCACGTGTTGAAGGAGATCTTGGACAAACTGCAGTGCAAGGCCGAATCTGCTGTCACACAGAACCAAAACCCCCTAGTACAGACCTTGACTCAACTCCTGGCACCAACGAGGCAAAGGCGAAGAAAGAAACTTCAGATCGAGAGGACGATGCGAAAGGTGCTGATACAAGCAGCCCCTTGGGATCCATTGGGCCATTGGCAAGCAGCTGGAGTTGATATGTCTTGATTGTCTTGCCAAGGTGACGAGGAAGATGCCGAAACCCCAAAGGACCAGCACGGAAGCTTGTGAAGTTAAGTCTCTGGGGAGGACTGAAGTTGGAATGCAGAAGAGCCTCTTGTTTGAACTTCTGCCAGGACCGCGCATGTTCCAACAGGCGGCTGCTTTTGAAACTGAACACAGAGGTGGGGTGGTAAGGAAGACTGGTGCTACCTCCAACGCCTGCATGAGCTCGCTCAGGTGTTGGACCTGCAAAAGGAGATGCGAAATCTTATTTCGAGCAATCCATCTCTCATGCCTGAGATCGGAGTTGTGCAGCTCCATGGCTGGAACTGAGGGTATTTGTTGAATTTTGTTGCAGCCTTAACTCAGAATTGGCAGAAAAGGGTCAAGAAGCCTCTCGAGGAAAGAGTGGATCTTTCGCTTGGCAGCAGAACTCGTGGAGCAGAGCCTCGCCGCAAAATCGGAGCAAAACTGTAGTTTTTTTTTCTTTTCTTTTTCCAGGTGTTTGCCGTGTCACCTAGATCATATTTTGGCCTGCACGTTCACTCCTAGCCGCAAGGACGAAGTGGACATTCTCCATGCTCGGACTGCATGGCGAAAACGGCCCATCCACCTGGGATGAAGCCATGCAGGACCCGACAGTCCAACACAAGCAAGCGCTATTTACGTCGGGCTGTTTCCCGGATGTTGTCGTTGTTACTGTTTGCTTTGTGACACAAAATGGCAGGAGACTCTCCGTGTGCTGCAAGCAGCTGTGCCGGACCCAATGGCACGTAACGAATCCTAACAACATGCACAACGTCTATTGAGTCTATTGCTGTCTTATGCAGACTCTGTGACGGGCCAATTTGAAGTGGTTCGTCGAGGCGAATTGGGATGGCTTTGCCACGCCGGCACTGGACGCGCGCATTCTCCGAGCTGCTGCGCTTGTCGACGCGAACCTTCTGTCCAAAATGCTCCAGGAGCGGATGGGGATTGAAGGTGTGTCACATGGCAGCATGTTATCCGACAGGATGCGCTTCAGGCTTGCGAAGACTCCACCCCGCCAGGCCCATTTGCCTTACATGAATTCGCTTTGCGGCAGATGTGCAATGGCTGCCGCTTTCTGCACAGGGGATACCCTGGATCAAGGTGATGCCAGACACCGATATCTGGAGACCCGGCTGCAGCACAAGTCACGCAAGGGTCTGCGGCAGCGATCGTTTGGCTTCGGCAGGAGGCTGTCGGCTTGTTGTGCCGACACGGCACGGCTGAAGCAGTGGCTGTACATGCGTAATTCGGTGTAGGAACTGGCGAGGGCCAGGGATCTCTGTTTCACAAGAGACGACCCCCAGCGAACCCAAACGTGGCTATGACGAACGCGCATACGATGACCAGCCACTCATAAACTCTAAGACTCTAAGCTAGGTATTGTGAGATCCATCGCTGGAGGTCTGCATGCAGCGCTAGTATGGGCTAGGTTCCAGGGCCTCCAGGTTTGTACCCGCACATTCTTGCAAGGCCACGAAGTTAGCTCCGTCACTTCGCCTGGTGAGCTCGATACACTCGTAGTTTTGGGCGCCCAATTTGCAAAACGCGGAGGTCTACAAGAGGATTAAGACGATGCTTGGGGATGACATGTTGACCAGCGGGCTTCTGCGAATTGAGGCTGGCCCAATGAATTTTCTACCAGATCGCGGGCTCCATCAGTCCAAGCACATAGATGCATGCCAAGATGCTCGAATCGAATTCCACGGCCTTGCGCCCCACCTTAAGAAAAAAACAGACTTCAGGCATGCAGTCAAGCATGCAGAACCGCCCTTGCAACAGACGTCGCTACGCGTTTCTCTGCCATGCTATGCTGCCATAGCACGGTTGTCCTACAGTCTCCTGGATGCTTGTCCTGAAAGCTCAATTTGCTCAATCGTACGCCTGACGGCAGCTGCAAGGAAGTCTACAACGAAACGGCGCTTGTGCAAAGCAAGGGTGGGTCACAGCAGTCACAGCATTATTCGCACCGAAGCATGATCGCCGCAGACCAGGATGAGCAAGCATTAAGCACCTGTATTGCGTGGTGAGCTGCGCGTAATCTCTAACTGCAGAGGCCATGGGTCCAAATCATGCGTGCTCGGGCCTCTGTTGCTTAAAGTGTCCTGGGCATTCACTGGGCATGTATGTCTCCCTGCAGATCCAGCCACTACTGTGATTCCAACATGGGTGCCCAAGTCGTCGAGGGAAGCATTGAGGTTCATGGCAAGTCAGCTCCGAACCAAGCAGCAGACCGTGCAGGTCCCTCTTGTGCTTGTCTGCTGTGATGCAGGCGCCTTCCCAGCGTTCAAGTTGTGCGTTGCGACGACTGGCCCAAGTAGCAGTTTGGCCAAGTGGCAGCCCAAAGGGGGCCAGTGTAGGCCAGCAGATGGAAAGCAGCCCACGAACCAAGGTGGAGGTGTGGGCTAGTTGCCATCTTGTTTTGGGTCGCATGGCTACTCGAGTTATTGCATAAGTGTTCCTGGCGACATCTGCACAGCACGTTTGTTTTTAAAGGAATTTGCTGAGAATGTGCTCGTCAATGTTTACTACGACAGCCTATGCCAGGCGAGCATCCATCGGTCATTGCAGGCTAGCATAGCGATCTTCGCAGCTTGGATGCGGAATGATGCGGACACTGCACAGTTCAGACTCAGACCTCTCCTTTCGCATCATGTTTTTTATTCAGTGTCGAACATGACATGGCAAGCCCCCCGAACAGGTGGGTGTCACGGAAGCAGGCAAAATTGCCTGGTCACGCTGGCTAAACGCCCCTCGGCTTCAATAGATGGGACCGGCTCATGCCGGCTGGTCGTTCATTTCGCAGATGCCTAGCCTTTTATCTAAGGACGGCTTTGGTTACTGGTGGGTGAACTCGAGCGGATTCTCTTTCTTTCATAACGATGGCGGGAGCCTGAGTTTGACACAACTGCCCTGGGTCACTTCGATGACAATCGCGCAACAATGCAAAACGAGCCAGGCGGGTATGGTCAGATCATCGTTCTGCGCTGAGTCGCACATTGTTGTACAACCTGTATATCCTGCTCTGCGCAGTTTCCTGGCGTGCAGTGAACACATGCTGGTCTCAATGGTTTAGGAAGCGATGCTGTCGTTGACCCTTGCCTTGGTGATTATCGATCTGGCCGTGGAGCTCAGCGCTCAAAGGCTTGGGCTGCTCGACCTTCACATCACTGAGCAAGCTGCTCTAACAGAGCCAATCGTGTGTCGCATTTTTTTCGGTGCCAGCATGTGCCTTTCATGTGTTGATAAGGCGTTCGTGCGCACTGTCTCTCGACTCAGACTGGGCCCTTCAAATGATTGTTCTGGAAGTACATGGAAGTACAATGCCAATATAGTACTTGGCGCCAAGAGTTCGCAGATTGTTATATGGCTTACATGTGAGGTGGGCTCATGCCGGAGTTGCGCTGCTCCTCTGTTTACTCGGCGCAGCAGACCTGGCGCTGAACGTGGGCGCCGGCGGTGCGCGGGTCTCTTTGCCGCTGATCCTCTTCGCTGTCAGCGAGTGCGGCTACGTGCCTTGGGCATATCCTCACGTCCCAGTCAGAAGTGGCGAAACCTAGCATGCCTTCCGCAATCTTCTTCTAAGCTTTGTCATTTCAGTTGGCAGTTGTGACTCAGTTTTGGGGCTCCTTTTACTGGGGCTCAGCCCGCTCTTTCAGAGAGCGCTCTCTGGGGTGGGCGGTCCAGGTGAGCCTTCTCCCCATTGAATCTCATTGCATGTTCCGGTGTTCCATTCATCTTGTCTCAACATGCCCTTAGTGTGATGGAGATGCGCGACGATGACGATGATATTGTGTCGAGACGGCTTGCTGTAGGTCCCTTGGTCTTGCTATTCGGCCGTGCTGACAGAAAAATGCTTCCCTTGAATGTTTGCTGCAAGCGGCGTCATGTGGTCAGACCAAGACGTCTCCATTTTCCCCAACTATGAGCCGGACAAGTACCACATTCGCACACCTTGTTGTGGCTTCCCTTCTTCTCTGTTCTGGTCTGCTTGCCTGCCTCCAACCTTGTTTCTACGTTTTGCCCCGTCTCGCTGGTCTCCCTTTGGTCTTCCCCAAGGCGCCCCCCCCATCCGAGCCTTCTGCCGCACGTGCCCCCTGGAAGGGGATGTTTGGCGAAGAAACGCCTGGAATACGATTGAAAGCCCGTAGATGGAAGCAAGTAGCAGGACGGGCCAACACGTTGATATCCCAAGCTGCTCCATGGGATGCAAATTAAACTGCCAACAGCCGCAGAACCAATGCCGCTTGAGTGACGGCAGATTCTGATGCAACAGAGCATCAGTGGAATCAGGGGCGGTGCCGGCCCGCCGGGAGTTGAAGAGAGGCGGGACCCAAAGCTGCCTTCTGGCAGAACCACGGAGCCTGGGTCGAGTGGTCCACGAAGCACTTGTAAGAAGGGAGAAGCAGTTCAGTAGGAACCATTCTGTTTAAACTTTCGAAATCGTACCAACTATGGCGCTGACAAGCAGCTGTTGCTTGCCAACATCCAAGGTTTTTCGCATGGTTTTGCCTTGGCTTCACTTTGTACTTGCAAGCTTGGCGCTGGTGACGACCTTAAGTGTTCTGCTGCTGCCTTTCTTTCGGCGCCTGGCCCGGGCTGGAGCTACAGAATGCCGCATTCCCTGGGCCTGCAAGCTGGCTCTCGGCGCCTGCTGCAGAAACTTGAAGTCAAGCAGTCATAGCAGCTCATAGCCATCAAGCAGCCCCCAATGTAGTCGCCAGTTGCAGGAGAGGGCGCTTTTTTTTGAACTCAGGCGGCGCTCTGTGGAGGTGTCGCTCTGCATCGCAGGGTGTGGGTGCCGACCTTTTAAGCCAGCTTGCTGGTGATGCCGTGTCCATGCTGATGGGGACTCTCCTGCCGGCGGACTCACGCGAGGCCGCCTTGTATGGATGTCTTGAGATAATGCAGTTCTTCTTATTCTTCTTGTTCTTCTTGTTCTTCTTTTGTGCCAGGTGCTTGCCAACCACGGAACTATTGTTGGCGGCTTGCCTTGCACTGTGGATCCGCCCACGCGGTAGGCAGGCTCAGGTCAAGGCGGCACTGTAAGGGTGAAGCACGTTCTTTCCCTACTTAGCCCTACTTGCCCGAGGCACGGCTACGAAGGCTACCTTTTATCCGCCAATCCTCCTTTTTCATTGGGAAGCTGGGGCTGACATCTTGCTGGATCGCACAAACGAAAGTGCTACGCCCTTCCTACGGGGCCTTGTGCAGAGGCACCGGTGTTGTAGCTTGCAGAAGCTGGGTCTGAGTGGACAGCTTGCATAATGCCGCGGACAGGGAACATTCACAACACAATGGCCTTCGAGCATGCAGCAATGCACGCGCAAGACTGAACTCAGAATGTAGGTTTTAGCGCTACCAACGTAACACCAGCGAAGTAGTCGAAATTCGGCACGTGGGTCATTGCGTGGCAGTAGTTTTGACAGTAGTCAGGCACATCAAACCCACGGCGTCTGACTCAGAATTGAGTAGGTCACTAGCTCGACCTTATCTACAAGACTTCAAGAGTTTGCGTTTCAGCAGCTTGGGTTGCTTTGGGCAGAGTTTAGAAGTTCGAGTGGTGCGCAGCTGGGAGGCCGGATGTCTTCTCGGGCAGCGCCATCACCAACGTCCCTATCACGCTCAAGACCGCCTGGGAGGCAAAAGGGCAAACTGAAGCAGTATGAAGCACTATGAAGCACTGATGCACATAGGCCTGTACCAGGTCAGGCCGAGTCGCTGTCGTCAGGTTCTGTGTGGGGTGCCAGCATCTTCCACAGCAGACTTTCGTGAACAAGGATCTAGCTTGAGGCAGGTTTTGTGCCACTCACTGCCGTGAGCAACATTTGTACTTTTCTGTTTTTGGCAGTCGAGACTTTGCAATGTCTCAGCAGTCTCCGCAGTGTTCGCACCTGCAGGCCGAGTGACCGGTTCAAGTGCAATAGGCGCGCGAATCCGGGTTCCGCCATGGCCTCGTTGCTGAACTTCGATGAAATGAACCCGAAGGCGGTGATCGCCTCGCCGAGATCTCTGCAGGCATGCAAGCAAGAGGGCGTACTGCCACAGGAGCTCGTATTCAAGCCCTTCGAGGCCTTCCAAGACAGGAACCTTTCACCTAGGCTGCAAAAGCTACGCTTCGATTTCTTCGAAGCCAAGAGACGCGATCTCCTGGCAGCAGCACGGAGGGCGCGTGATGCAATCGTGTCAGATGAGCACAGGGACAAGGAGAGCAACAACCAACAGTTGGCACTCGTGGCCAAGGAGAGTGGCCTCACAAAAGGGGCAATCTTGGCGCTGAACAGTGACACCTTGAAGCTTGAACGCCAGAAGTTGCTTCGAGCTCAGGAGACCGAACGGAGTTGGTTGAAGAGCTGCTTGCACAGCGAGCTGCATCAGCTTAAGCAGCTCGAGTCCGCGAATCAGATGCTCACCTCAGAAGCCGAAGACCGCCAGGAAAAGATGAGAGAGCAGTCTCGGAAAATGAAGGAAATGAACGACAAGAGAGCAGAAATGGAGGAACGCAAGCAGATGGAAATGGAGGCTCGGCATAAGTTGGAGAAGCAACTTGCCAAAGAGGAGTTTCACAAACAGCAGCTCGAGCTGCAAAACAAGCAGAAGGAAGAGGCAAAACGATTGAAGGAAGCTTATGAAAGGCAAGTGCGCGATGCCGAGCGCAAGCGGGAAATAGAAAGAGAGAAAGCAGAGAAGCGTGAGCAAGAGGCCCGTGATTTGCAAGCTCGGAAAGACGAAATGCGGGCACAAGACCAGCGGAGAACCGACCTGATGGCACAGAAGCAGGAAGCTTTCCGTGAACTCATGCGGGATCGCAAAGAAGCTCGGGACATGAAGATCTACAACAGCATTCAGGCCAATCAGGAGATTGAGCACAAGAGGCGGGAGGATTTTGACCGGAAGCAATCCGAGGAGATGGAACGTGAGGAGCGGCTGATGCAGGCTCTGGCTCAGAAGCAAGAGGAGAGTGCGAAGAAGTCCTTTCAAACGATGATGCGCCGGAAAGTCATCCAGGATGAGGCAAACAGAAAGGCAGAGGAGCGCCGAACATCCATCCTGGACCAGCAAGAGGAGACAGAGTACCGATTGATGGAGCATGAGGCGAAGAAGGAACGGTACTTGGACTTCAAGCGTGAGTTGGATGCTCTCAGGTCCAAGAACAAAGAGATTAACGTCGAGCGTCAAAGGAGGCGGGAGGATGCAGAGCGTGAGGCGATCGCTGAATCAGTCAAGAAGAAGGATGAGAAGATCGATCACATGACCGCAGAGCGGCAAAGGATGTGGGAGTTAAGACGTGCTGCTCAGGCAGAGGCATACAAAGCAAGAGCAAAAGTCAAGGATGAGATCATGAGGCAGCGCATTGCCTCCAAGTTTGACTCCAAGAAACTCGAAGTCCAACTAGAGTCTGTGATGCAGAGCGACCTCTTCAGTGCCAAAGTTCTGCAATCAAGTCACTCCATGCCATCGATTGGATCTCATCCAGCCAGCCGCTGATGCTCCGATCACGTAGCCTTAGTGGAATGACTCGGAATGACCGTGAGTGACTTATGTCCTGGCTCTAGCTGGCGGTGCTGTGAGCTAATTGGTAGGCATCTGCCCTGTACAGAGTGGTTGGCTCGAGCTGGACGCAATGCAGGCACTCTTAGTCGGCATGCGGTATATCATTGGTGGAGCTCGGAATCATTAATGTTAGGACTACTGCTGCTGCAAAGTTGCAGCGGCACTTGTTTAATTCATGTCGTGCATGAATGTACAAACCAAGCAGGTTGTCAGCGCTATAAAGAAAGCTTGTAGAGGTAGTCTCACCAGAAATATGCACTACTGCACATCAACAGGCCGCAAAGGTGTGAAAAGCAAAGTTTGCTGAGGAGCATGGCAGACGTGGCAGGGTGAGCATTTGCATTTTTATGCGCAGTTCGTTTTTCGAGCATGATGGGGGTGATAATATTGCAGGCAAGAGTGCCTTCCTCGGGCGCTGAAGCGCTGCTGCGGCTATCGGACAGTGCTGGCGAAGATGGACGCGGAGCTGCCAGATCTGCCTCGCCGAGTCTTTGGCTTTGAGGCCTGTGGAGCAACGTGTTCGCAGTCAGAATCAGATCAGCGACAGTGTATCTCTAGACTCTAGCCAAATCAGGAAAGCTACTGGGTGCACGAAGGAGCAAGGGCAAAATGTACTGCCTTCTGCTGAATCGAGAACAAGGGTTCCTAGTCCTAGTGGAATTGGTGGAACCATGTGAGTGAGTGAGTGAGTCAGTGAGTGAGTGAGTGAGTGTAGCTGGGTGTTATGAGGCCAGCGGGATCGGCCGTTGCTTCCACCCAAACATGAGAGAGCAAGGCCTGCGCCGCGTGAACACCTATCATGGCCAACCCGACGCGGCCTCAACCCTGACATGGCTCTCCAAACCAACCTAGAGAGCACTTGGCAAGCCCGCCTCCCGGACAAAGGGTGTAGCAAGGAAGGTCGCCGCAAGGGCAAGACAGCATGCCATCCTCCATACCTTCCTGTGCAGGTCAAGATGCAGCTCAAACGGCTTTTCCAAACCGAATGAAGCCCTGAATCCCTCGTAACGGTCGTAACGCCTGAAGCTTCGACCTTTCAGCCCTGGACACCGGCTTAAAAGAGAAAGAAGAAGTTCAGGGTTTAATAGGGTTTAGGGTTTAGGGTTTAGGGTTCCTTCAGCCCAGTAGCAAAAAGGGTTTAGGGTTTAGTGTTCAGGGTTGCCTATGAGCGACACTGAGGCGCCCTCTCTAGGCACGAGCAAAGATGTTACAAATCGAGCATTTTTCGCGGGTTTCCGAATCAGCCGTTTCCCGGTTTCCGAAGCTGCCGTTTGGCGGATTCCGAATCTGCGTTTGCCAGTTTTCGAATCATCCGTTTCATGGTTTCCGATTTTCCCGTTTCGGTTTCCGATTCAGCCGTCCTGGTCTCTGATTCAGCCGATCTGGTTTCCGATTCAGGTGTGGTTTCCGATTTTGCAAACCTGGTTTCTGAATCAGGTCTGGTTTCCGATTCAGCCGTTCTGGTTTCAAGTTTTTTTCATCTACCACTCTCCACTGGCATGTCCAAGTGCGCAAACTTCTGTGTAAAATGCGGGGCAGCATTGGTCGGTCGACACGCTGTAAGGAATCCGTCACTTGATAGTCTTCCTTGTTTGTGTACCGAAGATTCTATTCAGTGCGCACCAAAGCTGCCTGACAGACATGGCATACAAAATGAAAGCTTTGTGAACATTTCATCGGGAGGAGACCATTGTGGCTGAAGATGCGCATGCTTTGCTGCAAAAGCTTCGGCAACTGTTGGATTCATGGGGCGCGCTGAATGCAAGTTCACCGGCCTTCGTTTATTTCTATGCTGGGGATGCTCATCCACCCTACTATGGGAATCGTGTCGAACCTTCGGAACGAGGATATGCTCAGGAAGAGCTGCTGGATGTTTTTTTGGCTCTCAATCGAAGAACTGATGCTGTCGCAGAGCAGCTTGCGGAATTCTGGCCACCACGCAAGACACAAGACCATTGGCAGAAGGAGAATGGGCTGGCATTCACCTTTGGAGACCATGGCGAGCAGCTCAGCGGTGCTGATCCACCTCCACATGGAAATTTGGTTTCGCCGGATGTGTCACGGACCATGATGGCCTTTGAAGCCAGATCTTTTGCCTCCCGCGTGGCCTCGCCGCCGCTCTTTCGTATGGCAGACGTCTACGCCACCATTGCTGGAGTTGTCGGCCTGGAGCTGAAAGGTAAACTATTTGTTGGGACGAGTCTGCTCGATGCAAGGCCTGGAGCGCGCGGCTCAAAACGACTAGGAGTTCCATCGTTCTCCTTCTATCGACCAGGACTGGGCAGAATGTAGAAATGTACTGTAGCAGCCACAAGGCTTAAAGAGAACTGGGAAAGTCCTAAGTGCGGTTGTAAGTAAGATGATGTGTCATCGAGCAGCTGGTCAAGCCTACGCTGGTATGGACCGATGAAGGTCTTTAGACACACAGAGCATTGGGAGCTCGCCTCAACCAAAAGAATACCTTGAACCCACCCCAAGTTTGAGATACTGTTTCTCTAGACCCGATTGAACCCTGCCCAATACTAAACTTGCTTGACGGGCTTTCGGGGTTGGGGCCCCAGAGTCTGTAGAGGGTTTCGGGAGGAAGCAATTGAGCGAGGCGGGCAGCCTTCGCAGGATGTCTGGTCCCCGCACCCCAACGCACCTGACGAAGAAGAGGATGGGCACCCCACTCGCCACACAACGCACAAGGTGGACGCACAAGGTGGACGCTCGGCGTTCCTTCACAGGCACAGCGGGAAGGGCCAGCCAGCTCTCACAGCACTGGAAGCGTTGGGCCGTACAAAAACACACAAAAAGCAGCCCCTCGAGCAAAATACCTGGGTGTGATTTTGAGGCACGACGGCTCATACAGAGTTGAAAGCACGGCCAGATTGGCCAAGGCACGCAAAGACTTCAAATCGCTCACGCAGTTCTGGAGACACGCTTGAAAGTGGAAGATGAGCATATACACCGCCCTGGATCACGGCATGGAGCCAGCAGCCAAGCAAACACAGAATCGAGGCTTTCCACTCACAGTCCGTACGCAAGATGCAAGGAACCGATGATGAAGGTCAAGTTCACCAAAGTCCTGGCACCGGAGGGCACAGCCAGCATCAACCTCAGGAGGAAAACAGCCACCACTTACACGCATCATCATCATAAGCGGGATCGCCCCCATTGGCTTTGGAACGTAGCTGCTGTTTTTACCACACATCTTGCGTATGGGGGGGGGGAGTAGCAAGAAGTGCCAGGCACTATACACCCCAAAGGCCTCTCCGGCGGTTACCTTCGAGCTTGCAACTGCACAGGCGAGCAGTGAACCGGGCTTGCAGTAAGAAGCTTTCGCGGTGCCTGAGGCCTAAGGGCCTAAGGCATCTAGCAGCCAATCGCTTTCAAACCCACTCGCCGTTAAGGTAGTGGGAACTCTGGAGTGTTCGTGACAAAACACAGCAGATGTAGGAGATGTAAACAAAACATGGAAATACTATAATATACATAAGTATACACACACACATATATATATATATACACCGCCATATCCCATGCAGAACAGCTGTGACAGCAGCGCATGCAAGGAGACCTTGCTGCAGCTCACTTCCGTGTTTCTTGGCCTGAGTCTGCACGTAGTGACGCAGTGCAAGCATACCTACTCATTCTACTAGTGCCATCTCCCAGCAGCTGTGTCGACACATCGCGTTGCAGCACTTGCTTTGCCTATTCTTCAATTTTGACCACCACATGCGAGAGCCTTTATGCTGATGGACGGGGAGGCAAGGGGATCGTCTTTCTACAGGATGGGACTCTTTGTGGCTGCCCCTGTCTGGATTCGCGACACCACCTTACCTCAGCAGGGCGTAAGCATCTGGACGCTTCTGGGGTTGCCCGTTGCTGTTGCTGGATTGCTTACGATCATTAGTTTGAGGCAGATGACCTCCAGAAGCAAGGATTTTCCAGGGTGCGGAAAGACAACAACCATCGAAAAATGTAGGCTGGAATCCCCCGAGGGACGTAGTTTCCGGGCCTGCAGGAATTCCAGCCTGTTTGAAGATTCGTCATCATGTATTGTAAAGGCTCAAAACGAAGTCCAAGAACGCAGGCCCGTATTGCCACCTGTTCTGTCTCTTTTTGTATGTGTTTTGAGTGTATTGTTACGTCTGTTTCGTTATTGTTTGTTGTTTTCCGGGCCCGCGGGCATTCCAGCCTTTTGTTCTTTTGATTTTCCGCAGCCATGGGAATTCCAGCTTCTTGTTTGGCAATTTGTTTCCAATTTTTAAATTTAAAAAAGTTTCCTGTTTTTGCTTTGTAATACTTTGCGGATTTGTTCTTGACCTGTTTTTGGTGCCTATTTGTTGATTTGATGTTGATTTTTGTTGTTCAGCCTAGAGGAATGAACTATCAGAACGATATGCGTCGTTGCCTTGCGTTGCCCGGTCGGATTGGCCTGTCCGATGGGCCCTATCGGGTGTGTGATGAGGCTTCGGATGGCCAGATGTGTGCTGCAGAGTTCCATCGTGGCCTTCAAGGATGGAAAGTTGTCAAGGCACCTGCAGCACATGTAGCACCTGAGAACTAGCTAAGAAAACCGAGGGGCACTTGAGAGCAGCTAGTGAGTGTCCGTGCTCCGTGCGTCCTGGATTCCAAGAGGCAGATTCCCTGCAACATCTCTTCGGAAGTGGCAAGAGTCTCGCTTCCATCGAGGCTTGGGAATCCATGTTGGGACTTGTGCGCTTCACCCACTGAGTAATACTATCGTCTCTCGTCTCCGGTCGGGCTTGATGAAGAAATGCAGAGGTTTCATGATTGAACCCTTGCCTGTTAAAGGCGACTCCACTTTAAGCCTTGAAGCAGCACCTGTCATGATCCGAAGAGGTGCAGCAGCTGTAGCCTTCAGACAAGCAGCAAGCAAAGCCGGGTGTCCAATTGGTCCTGTTGAAATGTTGTTCGTGGAGACTCGCTCGGCGACTTCTCAACGCCAGTCAGTGTTTTCACATGACTGGTTGACTGATTATGCTGAAGGCAAAGTCAAATGTAAGGTCATGCGAAGGAGTGATGGGATTCCCTTACGCCTGCCAGGCACCCCTGAGCAGCAAGTGTGCCGGTGAATCCATGGCTGCGCTGCACTGGGCTTTAAAGCAGAGACAGGCCATGAACACGCTGCTGACCGTAGCCTTGTGGCAGTTACTGAAACCCCTTCGAAGCTCTCCCTTTGCCGGCACTACCTACACTGGCAGAACAGAGTGCCCGTAAGGAGTCGAACGTGCACGCGGCATTGCTATTTGCTTCAGTCAGGGCCACATTAGCGCGGGACTCTTGGCAGCAGTGGGGGCGGATGTGATCGGTGGATGTCGCTGAAGACGGCAGACGGCCACTTGCAAGGTTTCTGATGACTCTCACCCAAGCCAAGCAGCCAAGCATCCTTCTTTGCAACATTTCGTGTTTCTGCACTGCTGGTGCAGGCGACAGCTTTGGCAAACTGGCTTCTGAAGAGCATGCTTCGGCCTTTCCTGCCTCCTCCGGTGCCTCATCTGGAGCATTGAGACATCTGGGGTTTATAGGGTTTCGGGTTTAGGGTGCTCTGTCCTTTCTGTGGCGCACTTTTGGCACCAAGCGAAGGATTCTCGGTGTCTTTTTTTGGTGCTGACAAGTCTGAGGCCTCCAACTGCACGTTTGGCGACAACAGCACATTGGGCGACAACGATGTCCAAGACAACGTGAATAACTCGTGCGCTGTATGCCAGATTTACTGACCCAGATTTACGCAGTTTTCATCGCTGATATCCCTTCAGATCAGGCTGCGAATTAGCTGGCCAAGTTGAAGGGTTGCTGGGGCCAGGAAGGGTGCTTCTTCGGTTTGCAGAGCACCGTTTCCGTTTTTCATGTACAGTACCACCTCAAGACTCTCCGAGCCTGCGTCGACATGAGACACAAGGTGGTCTTCATCCTCAGCGCCCACGGGTTTGCCTAGGGGCCTAGGATGGAACCGATAACCCGGCAGGTCTGCGAGTATCAGGCATGCCAGCCCCTGTATGGCTCTCAGAGTCTCAGACATCGCGGCTCCGCTGCTTGGCAGCCTGCGCCCTCTTGGTAGGTGGCTGGGCGCTTGGAGCGCTTGCAGAGGCTGCACCCTTCCATCCAGTCACAAAGCTCACGTGTTTGCAAAGTTTGCAATGCACTGCCAGAAACATGTAGAGGCATCGGGAGAACATTCGACGCATCTATCGTGAACTCAATGCAGATCGGCACGCCTCTTACGGTCTTGCAGTTGCACTGTGCCGTGGCCCTTCCTTTGTTCAACAGTTGTCAATCAGGTATGCAATGTGTCGTAGCACTTTCAGCCTCAACGTAAAGTAAACGCCAACACCATCCCTGAATTCCATGTTCAGTGATTTTGAACATGTTTTGCCGGAGGGGGGTGGGGAGGAGAAGATGGACAGGTCTAGGAACCCAAGCAAGTCGTGCCCGTGCACATTGGTAGTAGCTGGGGGCATGTGGTGAAACCTCACTTCGCTTTGAAGGGAAATTATGTGGCTCATCTTCTTGGCGTGTTTGTTCGAGGGCTGGAAGGGTTTGGCTTGGCAGTGCAGCCTGTTGCAACAATTGCAAAAATTGCAAAAGAGAGTTTTGGCTGTGGGCTTTAAGGGGTTGGAGTGGTTAGTCCCGTGCATCCTAAAGCTGTTGCCATGTGCGGCCTTGGCCCTCGAAGCGCTGCGCAGCACGAAGTTTAAAAACGTTTTGCGTCCTTGGGCATTTGAATCTATTTGTAGTTTTCGCTCTCTCTGAGCTCTTGATTATTGCAGTGGCTGCCTACTGGCCTTACAGTATGGTGTGCGTGAACCGAGCTGAACGCCTAGTGGATGAGAAATGTGTGGGAAGGAGGTCTCATGTCTCACGGGGGTTGGAAAGTTGGACGCCTAAACGCTATCTTAGGGCCACTTGTGACCACTTGGTGCTCAGGGAATGCATCGACTCAGGCCCGGCGGAGGCTCCGAAAGCCTGGCAGAGAAGACGGCTCCGACCGCTGCGACAGCAACAGCTTCTGTGTCGATACCTCGTGCATTGCCAGTATCGGGGCTCGGTCCTTGGTAGACTAGTCGACTAACCCTGGCATTTTTGGGGACCCATAAGCAAGGCACCTGGCAGGCTTTCCTCGAGATCTTTGAAAGACTAGGAGGCAGCATCTCGTCCTAGCACTTCATGAATCTGACGAGCCCAAACAAAACGAATTTTCCACCGCAGTTGGAGCTTTCATGCCTGGGTGTGTTTCGCAGGCCTCGCGGTAGGGCAAAATGTAACCTTAGGATGGCTATGCGTCACCGGCGGCCACCTTCGACGAAACCTAGTGTGAAGTGTCATCTGGGTGCCTAGTGTCAGCGAATGGACCAGTCTGGGCAAGGTCATCGCCAGGAAGTTCTCTTGGTCAGAAGAACCAAGATCCAACTTCAGGCTCCAAGTGGTTGTAAAGTCGGAGTTTTTTGAATGCCGATGACCTGGAGCGGTTGCTGTGCTGAGTTACGAATGTGTCGAACACAGGGCGAGCATCTCCACCAGCAAGTCCCACGCCAGGTGGCACAGGAGCTAAGTCTCGAAAAAGTGGAATGGTGCACTGGTGCACTGGCCAGCTTCCAGTCCTAGGCCAGCAGCGCTCTCAATGTCAAGGAGCTACAGGAAGTTCGGCGACGCCGGCTGCAAAGTCCGCAACGGAGGCGCATTTCCAAAAGTACGACGAGGACCTCTCATCTCTTGCCAAACAAGCCTACGGAGGACTCACAGTAACAGGGAATGTGGAATGTTGAAAGCGCCCAACGAGGAGCCGGAAGCTGGGGCGGAGGAGTCTCTGTCATAGCCTTGGCGCTTGGATGCGCTTGGCATGGCTTGGCGCATCTTGGCAGATCACTGCTTGGATTGCTGCTTGTCCTGCTTGTCTTTGTGAGCCTTCTCGAGGCGCCAGTCTTCGAGGTGGCGGCCACAATCTGCAGAACCTCCCAAAGCAAGTGACCCAGCTCTCGGCCAGGACACCTCTGGTGTCGTGTGGCAACTTGTTGTTAAGGTCTGGGGAGGAATCAAGTCTCCGTGGCTTCGTGCAACGCAGGAAATTTTCGAGGCTTTGGAGCACTACCAACCTCCGCCTCGAGGGGTGCGCCAAGCAGAATGATCAGAATGCGGACCTTCAAGCTGAGCAGTTTGCGATTTCTGCGACAGCATGAGGTGCCAGCCCGCGAGGAGGGGACCACGTCAGGCGGGCCCCTTATGCTGCTAATCTCGGCTGGCTGACTTGATGCAATACCGGCCAGTCGCTGACTTCGATCTGCCGCCCGCAGAGCTGGAGCACGGTGCTTGGATGGACTAGCACCCTCATCAAAACTGTGCCATCCTGGCTAGCGGTATCCAGTTTCACTGCTGAGCTGCGCTCCTTGATGTTCCATGCACATTGGCCTCGAATCTGGCCCAAACGTCCCTGAGTAGACCTACATGTATACTAATGATGCATGCCGCAAGATGGTAGCGGCTGACGTGCCGCTCGAGCACTGTCTGAGGCTGCATGGTTCAACTTGTAATTTCCATTGATGACAAGGCAGGTTGGCGTCAGTCTTTGGCAGGCAAAAATCGACATGGGTGGGGTGCGGCCGGTTTCCATATACTGCTGCGCCAAGTTCACAGTAGCGACAGCATCCTGGATGCATGGGCAAGCAACGTGAAGGGTGCTTATTCTTCTGTCATGTCAATGCGAATGCAAGGTCCTGACTCTGTCATGTCTCCTTGGCTTTATATTCCGCGCTTCGCATGACTCTTCCGAGAGCTCCCGACCTCCGTCGAACTCTGGCTGCACAAGACAAGAAGAGTGCAATGTGACTCGAAAGTGGTCTCATGTGTTGGGCATTCAGGTTTTTGCAGATGACATCCTCGAGGCATTCCCGCTGCACCTTGCTTCGTGCAACTTGCTGATCGGTTGCCGGCGTGCAGGACACGTACTTGGGGCAAAGCTCAGCTGCGAAAGGCGCGCACGAAACTGAAGGACGTGATGGCTTGAGAAGAAAATTCCTGTGTTGCAAGGCGAGCGCTTGCCCGGCAGAGCTGCAGAGCAGACATCCTGATTGCAGCCTGGCAATATCCATAATCATTATCCATACCGCTGTAGGCACGATGGCTCCTGGAAGCATCGCAGTGGGCTTGGAAGCCAAGGCCGAGTAGTCAACGTGCGAGAGACACTCCACTTGGGCAAGTCCATCAGGCTGGCTTCCCGTGGCTTCGCTACTTTCGTTGGGTAGAGGCATAGCTTGGGATGTGCAAAGGGTGTGCCATTGCAGGCCCAGGGAACACACGGCGATGGTTTGGAGTGCTACTTGCCTGAAGGGCTTTAGTCTGCAAACAGCAATTCTCACTACCACATGCCCCCCGTCGATAGTCAGGCACTACACCCAGCCTTGTCGTCAGCATCCTGCCCGCATCTCCAGCACCAGAGCAGGCCATGCATTTGTATTGTGGCCCTTGCGCGACCTTGCTGGCGAAATCTGGCTAACTGCCGCCATGCCCATGGACCTAAGGAAAGGGACAGCATCATTGGGTTTAAGCCTGCAATGCTGGACGTGGAGTCCCGCTGCCCTGGTGAATCCAAGCAGGCGCTGCTGCAAGGGGTGAGCTCACGGAGAATCACCGTCAGTCCCACTCAGAAGATGTGAGGTCAGCTTGGTGCACCACATCAACATCTATGCTTACGATGCCCCGACTCCATTGTCAGCCGCAGCTGGAATGATCTTGTCGTAGAGACGTTTCTCTGGGTTTCCCTACAAAGGCGGTGTGATAGAGGTCCGGACAGGGCGACTTCTTGCTCTCCGCAACCAAGGGGCGAGCTTATGTTGTGGATGGCGAGGTTCCGGAAACGCCTGTTGGGATAGACGAGAAGTCCATGCGCATGCTGGCATCTCATGACAAAGACACTTCGGCAACAGAATTAGAGGGGTTCATGCCGCTCGCAGAAATATCTTCGTGGAGGCCGGCATGTGTTGGCCGTAAGTCAGGAAGCTGGAGACTACTTTTTGCCAGACGGCTATGGCATCCCCGTCGGGAAACAGATGCTCGGTTCCGGTCGTTAGAATGTCTAGTCATGCTATGTGCTTGCTAGACAAATCATGCATATCACTATGTCACTATGGAATGGCACTGGCCACACTAGCACAGCACCTGTACCTGGCAGCGCGCTGATGGAGCGACATTTCCTTTTCCCCAAATGCTGGGACTACGACGACGAAGCTTGGCTTCACAGAGAAGAGACCAGCACACTCCTTGTCGTGCCCAACTTCTACACATCTCCAAAACGAAGCGCTCACGATTCCTCACCCTAGGGTAGTCTACGAACTTGTACTTTAATGATACATCTCCCGAAGATGTCCCAAGGCTCGAGTGGCTTTTTTTCGCATAGCAGAGAGTGCATGCCTGCCTTCTCGAGTGAGGACATTGTTGAATCCAGTGGCATGGATCTGCCGCCGGTCAGCGACATTGATCACATGTCATGTGTGCGCGATGATGCCGTTGGTTCTCTTTTTGGACACGTGAACCCGAGGTATGTGACTTCTTCGCATTCCCTGAAGCCGGCCGCTTTGGTAGGACAGCTTCTCCTAATCAACTAAATCAGTCAGAACATTTACGTTCGAAGGCTAACGGTGCGAGGTCGCAAGCCCTGAGCTCCAAAGCAGCTGGAAACGGGGGAGTGGCACTTAGTGGGAAAGCCCAAGCTGTGAAGGGAACGTGGCAGCGCGGGGTTTTGACCAGAAAGGAATGTTGCAAACCCTGAGCCCTCAACTTAACCCTCAAAGGAGAGGGACTTGCAGGAGGGGCTCGTGCGAAGCGAACATGAAGCCCGAAACCCTAACAGGAGTTCTTCAGGGTGGCAACAACAAAAGGAGTCTCAAGTTCGCATCCCCGCCCCGAGAGCTGGAGGAGCACTCAATTTCAACATGAACGTCCAACCACAGCAAGGGCCTGTGGAGTGGATCACCCGTGTGTCTGCAGAGACATTGCGGAGTCTTATCTCCGACAACGAGGCTCCTCGGTTGCACAAGGTTGCACAATGTGGCCCCGCTCTGGAGGCACATGATCAAATGTTGACCGTCGCGGGAGAAGTATCAGACGCTGATTAGACGAGAAGAGCGCTGAGGAAGTGCGAGTAGAGAGATCAACGCATCCTCACTTGTTGCTCTGGACATCTCTGGACTCTGTCACGGATACTGTCGGTACATCTGGCAACAGACTAAGGAATGGCCTGAGATTTTGGCCGTGCACCTGCACACGCACGATGTGCCTCTGCTGAAATTCGGCCTGCTTCCATATGACTCCAATGCGTGTAAGATCGAAGGTCGCAAGAAGGAAATTTTTCGAGATCCTGCTGCCCGGCTGGCTCTGGGTTCCGCTTGGCTTCAGCATCCAGCCGATGAGTCATTTTTGCGGTTCAGTTCTTTCAGTTCTTTCGACCTGAGGAATGAGGATGGTTCTTTGGCCTTCCGGTCGACAAATGAAAAGGCGGGCTATGGCCTGCAGGCAGGAAGGTTAAGCTTGCTGGTGCATGCGATTGCATGCGCGTCGAGGTACCTTTCGGCTGCAGATATGAGATTCGAGGGTTGCCCGCGCTGCCTCCAGGAACAATCCTTTTTCAACTTGCCGGAGAAGGGCTGGCCGCGTTTACAGATACATGCTGGGCAACAGTTGCTCCAGCACTGCTTGCTGCTTGGCAGAAAGGGGACTAAACTGACTAAACTGACTAAACCCGTGCCTGCTGTCGCGCGACGTGGTGTTCATCGTGTCCGCCGGTAGCTAGCGTAGCTACTAGCAGGTTCGACTCCGATCACCTAAAGGAGCCCGTGGTGTACGGGCTTGGTTGGGGACAAGAGATGTGCGCTCCTTTGCTCGTCATTGGTGGTGTGCGAGACCTGGCTGAATCGATGACAGGGGCTGCCCCTTTATCCCACTACAGTCACTACAGTATATAGCAAGCAGACGTAGCAGCCTCAGGAGGTTGCAAGGCTCGAGGTGGAGACAGGGTCAACTCCTTTGACGTCTGGAAAGAACGCAGATAGCCGTATGGCCGCATAAGGGTCGAGTCATGTACCGAACTGCATTATCCACCACAGCCACCAACAACCCCGAGAAGGAGAGGGTACACCCCAATCACCCCAATCGCCCCAACCGCCCCGGAACGCGCCACCCGACTACGCAGCCTCATCATACCCGAAAACTGAAAGCCAGATTGTTTGGTAGCTCACGAAACAAAGCATCGCAAGATTGGTGGCGTATCGGGGCCTAAAGGAAATCATCTTGAGCGGAGCTGCTGCTGCCGCCCGCCGGACATGACTGTAAGAATGATTAGCTTCCTGCGAAATGGCAATAACATGGATTCGCTGCAGCCTCAAAGGTGTGCTTCCAAGCCGCGTGCGATTCCATTCAAAAACTCACACAACGACGGCGGGTCTGCTGAAGGCCACACTCTTTGCATGGCAGGCTCAAGTTGCAAGACTCACCGGCAGTTCAGTCCAGAGTAGTGAGTAGCCAGCATCGGACAGCAGAGTTCTCCTGAAGAAGAAAAGTCTGTTTGCAAGATTTGAGCAACTTCGCCGTGGGCCATGTTGCTGGGCGCGCTAACCTTGTGGATCCTGGCCCCGATTGCCAACACCTGCGAGGAGCAGCAAAGGGCAGTCATAGGCAGTCTTTCTGTAGTCGAAAGCCGAGCGCTCTTTCTTTGTTTTTGCTCCACTTGAGTTCCAGTTCTTCTACTTCTGCACACTCGCTCGAAGGAGGGGAAGGTCTTTGTGGTCGGCGCTGGGATTGCTGGACTGGTCGCCGCCAGCTCGCTTCAGAAGTTTGGAGACACGGCCGAACTCGGATGACCTCGTTGAGTTGAGTCGAAAGGCACGGCCATGCACGGCCTCTGACTGAAAGGCCGGAACCGCCAATGATCCCGCATGCAGCACATGTCTGTAAGCATCCCACCGCCACATGTGTTTGTCTAAGGATGTGACGTCACCGTGTTGGAAGCGCTGGACCGCTTGGGTGGTCGAACCCACACCTTTCAGACGGGTGTGTTCGCTGGCACGGAGGAGGGCGCACACTGGATCCATGGTGGTATCGACAATGTACCACTATCCACCTTGCTGGATATGTACAAGGTTGGACAAATCCGTGTCGGAGGAGACGATGACTATGAAGGGTCACGAAGCAGATTGCTGCTGCTGTCACCTGAGAACTTGCCACTCAGTGCAGCTGAGCGGGACTTATCTTTCGATCTCTTTGAGTCTGCACGGTCGGCCACTGATATCTTTGCTCGAGACGCCTGAACGAAATTCTCAGCACGCTTCTGAGGTTCCAGGAGTGTTCCGTAAGGATCCAGGAATGTTCTAAGTGTGGGCGACTTCGGCAAGTGTAGTTGAAGTCAGGCTGATAGCTGCACACGGCTGTTCCTGGCTCCAGGGCACGCTTTCAGAGAAAGATGTGGGCATCTCTGTGGCCGATGTGTGGCATCGAGCGCTGAAAGTCAACTACTCGGCCTATGGACAAGCCATTCTCGACTGGCACCAGAAAATAGCCTATGAGCAGGACTGGCTCCTTGATTGCGTCGTGCGGGCATCCCTTCCCGAATCTTAGGGTCAATCCTGCTCTGCATTTTGTGCAAGGACTCCGGCGCCTCTATTCAGGAGCTCAGTGGCTGGCAGCAAATTTTGGCTAGCGCTCAGCAGCTCATGCAGCTTGCGGTTACAGTGGCGATTTGGCTGCCATCTCAGATCGTAAGGTGCCTTGGGCGAATATGTGGAGGACTACACGGACTTTTATCCCAACAGGTCGGCCGGTTTGGAGAAGCACGGGGATGCCTACGTACAAGGCTGGACGTGCTCTTGTGAATACGGCCGCTGTGACGCTGTGTCTCTGCGTGTCGGCCGTTTAGGTGGCTACTCCACATTGGTTCAGCGGTTGGCTGCTGGCTTGGACGTGCGCTTGCAATCCCCCGTTTCGCGCAGCTCGGTCGATCTGCTAGTGCAAGAACTTGCCACCAGTTTTGAAAGCTCGCAACCTGCAAGGAATTAAGTACTCGAACGAAAGCGTGGCCCTCATTGTGAATGGGACTGAACTTCGAGGCTGGACTGGAGCAGCCGACATTCTCAGGCAGAGGGGCCCGTGTTGTCCTGCTGACAGGTGCATCGGTCATCCTTACAGCCTCAGTCGGAGCATTGCAAGCTGATCCTTTCCTTATTCCTTACACCAGTCATGATCCTTTGGTTCTTGCCCAGATCCAATGACACGCATGCGCCCACATGCCATGGTCTCTGAGGAGAACATTGCTTTCGAGCCCTCGCTCCCGAGCTGGAAACGAGAAGCGCTGAAACGCCTGGGCATGGGGAACGTTGCCAAAGTGCCCCTTGGACGGCGACTAGCAGTACTACTAGAACATCCCAACATGAGCAAAGGCACTTGCACGGCCTCGTAAACATGTTCAAGCATTCGGAACATTTCGCCGACCAAGAGAAGCAAACACTTCCTCCCGAACTCGTATGCAAGCCTGGGTTCGGCATACTCCAAACACTTGAGCTGCTCATCTCACGGGTTCCCTCTCGTGGAGCCCAATGGGGGGCGGTCAGGGCATCAATTGTCTTGCTCCCTGTTCACTTCCCTGTTCATATGTTAAGACTTAAGACCGTTAAGAGTTGAGACTCAAAACCTCTGAGCTGTCCAGTGATGCCGCTGACAGAAGCGGACGGCACCGTACTGGCAGGGTGGGCGATGCAGCAAGGGGGAGTACCATTGCAAGACGCAGCCAAGCTGAGCAAATACACGAGCAGGCAGGTGCGGACAGCATTACTTTCCAATGTGCGACCTTGAGTCATATTATGAAACGATGTAAACTTAGACTGAGTGTCTCACACTTTGGTGGGTGTGAATGGCTCCTTTTTGCCTGTCTGTGTCTTTTGCCTTTGTTTATTCTTCTGACGCTTGGTGGCTTGAGGATGTTGCTGGCATCGGCAATGTTTTTCGTTCAAGCATTTTGAAATGTACTTGGTGTAGACTCTTGTGATCAATTGACAGTCATGGGGCATCATGCAGGGTCTGCTGCCAGATGCTTCCAGGCACGTACATCATAGAAGTCTGAGGCTAGTCAAGCTGTCGCAGCTTGTGCCAAGACTTGATGGAGTGTACTCCTTGGGGCGACTGGCTCCACGAGGCGAGGGAGGCCGAAATCTGATATCCTACTGTATTTGGGACGAGCTTGAACATTCCAGACCGATATTGGAAGCTTGATGAAATCCGTAGCGGCACTGTCACTGACAGTCTGTGCAATGCACTGTCCGGTGCAGGGTCTGCTGTGTGCTGCCATGACAAGGAATGCTTTCTGGGTGGCCAGCAAGCAATCAGCGCAGAAATGATGGATGCTGAGGCTCTGAAGCGCAGCTTAGCTCAGCAAACAGCTTATGAGCCGTTGCATGCCCTGCCGAGCACGTGAGAGCACGTCTGTCCCCAATCACCTGCAGGTCAAGTCACATCCGAGCTTGATGCTGCGATTGGATCCTCCGTTGTGGAGGAAGTCATGATCACGAAGTGGTCCAGCAACCCTTTCATCAGGGGGGCTTGGAGTTATGCTCGAGTGAACTCGTCTGCGAAGGACTGCTGCCGTGTGTTCATCAGTGAAACTGATACCTGTGCGGGTGGCTTCATTACATGCCAGCAGTCACCACCGGAAAAATACGTGAGGACCGGTCTGAAAAGTTTCGAAGAGCAGACAAAACAAGGGAACAACTTTGGGCACCAAAAAGCAGAGCAACTAAAGGCAACAACAAAGGAACATGAAGGGAGTGGTGTTTGCAATCAACGGTGGTCTCAAGACTTCGCGGCGCCGGAGGGGGGGGCGGACCCTGCATAGCAGCCCCCCCCCCCTCCCCTCCAACCCCCCCCCTCCCGTTTTTGATCGTTGCTGTGTTACGTATTTTGAAGCCTTACAAGCCTGCTTTCTAAAGGAGAGCTTGCCAAGCAAGACGCCTTTACATTGTGATATGAAAAAACTCCATGTCCGCTATGTTTTGTAGGCAAACACGAAAGCCTCCCTCTGCGTAGCCACTACGCAAGAAGGACATGCCCCGTCTAGAGATCTACTGGAGACTTTGGCCGGCCCAGGGGCGGGGATTTCTGGATACAAACAGAGGTCTCAAGGCTGACGCCACATAGCAAATCCTAGGGTTTCCCTAGGTTTCGGGGGGTTTGTGCAGCTGTTGGGATTGGTGTGGAGTTTTGCCAGTGGTGAGGGTGGGCTGAGCTGTCCATGCAGCGGGAAGCGCCCAGAGTCATGGAGCTGAGCTGCCCCGCGCTCCCTGATGGGCCAGGCGCTCACCAGCGCGGGGCTTGCCACGCCACATCTCCTTTTAGAGCTTAGCGTTGGTATTCGGGTATCTCTTAAGCGACGGATTAGAGTTTGCTTTAGGGTTTAGGAGCAAAAAGGAGTGGTCGCGCCGCGATTCCTTATGCGGAGACTGTAAGGCTTTCGGGTTCTCAGGGTGTTCAGGAGTTTTGAGTTCAGGTTTTTTTGGTTGCACTAGCTGACGTTGTAAGTTGACACAGTGAAGCCGAGCTGAAACCCGGCGTTCAGAGGATTTTGATGCCTTGGCGCACAGAGTTGGCAAGCTGCACTTTGCCGGAGAGGCGACTTGCAGACTATTGTGGGGTTGCTTGGCATTGCTTGGCATTGCTTGGCATTGCTTGGCATTGCGTGGCATTGCGTGGCAGCGTTTCGAGACCATATTCCCCCAGTGCCGAGGGCTAGGGCCGCACGCCAGGCCCACACCTCGGTTACCAAGATTTGCCCCAAGGCAACGTGCATGCTGCTGTCGTAAGCGGAGCTCGCGCAGCACATGAACTTCTGCATCTGGAAAGAAATGCAGAAGAAAGCTGGCCACTCTTTAAACATGACCCTTGGCTTCTCAAGCTGCGAACGACTTTCTCTCCAGGATTGTGGTCCAGAGTCCGGGTTGAGGGTGGTCTGTTTTTTTGGCTTGGTGTTGGTCCTGGTTGTTGACTTAGCCGATTGAGTTGCTGGGTTTGGGTAGCCTCCCCCTTTCGCCAGCAGCGGCTGCTTCTTTAAATTGTCTCGCTTCAGGAAATCCTGCAGCTGTGCACACACTGCCCGGCAGGTGACAGTCAGTGCACTATGTGAGTTAAGCGTCTGCAAGCCTCTGAAGTTGTGCTGAAGTGGTTGCTGCATGGAGGCAGCGCTGCTTGCCAAGCACGTGCAGATTTGAGAAAAGCCGTCGTCTACGTCTGACCAGCGCCTTGTGTCTGGGAAGCACACGGGGAGGACATGAATTCTCAGCACTGTAGTATGGCAAATTTCTCCAGAAGCGGGGTCATCATGTTTTTTCGAGCACACGTCGAGTTTGTATGGTAGTTGTGCGATGGCAAGGCTGCGCATTGCCAGAGCGATCCTGCCACAGCTTCGACGAGGGGAAGCAGCACGCAGAAAGCCAGCATCGAGAAGGCTTCAGGGGTGGCGGGCTTTTGCTTTGTGCCCCAGCTGCGTATACGTAATTAAGTGTGGCGAGCGTTGCTGAGCAGGTCTCCTTCGGTGGCACGCGCGAAGTTTGACTGACTTGGCAAGCGCTTGCTTGTGCAAAAAGTGATCGTCGGAAAGAAGCACCTCTGGAGGCGCTAGCGGATAGCGTTGTGATTCATGCTGAGGGAACTACAAGCAAATGAGGAAAGGGAAGCGGCAAGAAATACAAGGTCGTAAGATAGCAACAGAATTAGCGATAACCTTTAGAATCTAGAACATGGTGAACGAAACGAATTGACTTCTTTCACCTGCATTTTGTTTTTTCTGTGTGCGGTTGGACTTCGCGAAAAGACCCAAGGACCAATGCCGACCGTACTGAGCTCCTTGCCGGTCTTATGATCTCTGTGCAGTGGAGGCACAGATGTCATCAGGCAACACTGATGTTTAAACACATTGAGGTTCTATGGACGGTTACCTCTCCCGTTTCCATGTGACGTGGATGCAAATGGAAAAGAGGTCGTTGCACTGTAGTGTTCAAAGTAGTGTAGGACAAGCGCAGCACTCAGGGCCTTTGGCAGGATGTTGTGCGCGACATCAATCGACTACTGTCCGAATTCCGATCTGAGCTGGGGCACCCTAAGCCTTAAGCGAAGGCTGTAAGCCTTTGGCACCATGCCTTCGTGCAGAAAAGCAGCGTGTGCATTCTCTTGGCCTTGCATTGCTACGTGACGCAAGACTGATGCAAGTGTTGCCGCCAAAGTGTTCTTTATCCATGCGTGGTCCAGTGGTCCATCTACTTCAATATGTCTCTGGGATTCCACGTGTAAGGCACCCCGGGGCAACCACATCGCTCGCCTTGCTGGCTTTGAGCGCAAGCCAGGGGAGGGACTCAGTCAGCTGCCCTCTGCCATTCCGTCCGCTCAGCCTCATACCTGTCAGAGCTTAGCTTGTGACTCTTTGAGCCCCAAAAGCACACACACATCCACACATTCACATACATGCCATCAGATGCTATCAGTATGCAGCACGTGCCAGGCTGGCATCGTGCTCTCCAGCCTCGGAGCAGCGTCCAGACCTCACCAATGGGTGCAGGTCCATGTCGGCTTTGGCTTTATGGTGGGCCGCTGTTTTTTTGATCAGCTCTCGGTCGACACGAGCACCTTGGGACGTGCCAGCCACACTGTCATGAAACCTGCACGCTCAACAGCTGCTGTTTCCGATGTTCGGCAACACCTCACAACCGATGCCATAAGCCCTGCAGCACAACAAGTGTGTGCACAGAAACCCATGGGGTCTCTTCCAGAGCCTGGTACGCTGCCTTCCCGGTCCAAAGCGGTGGCTGCTCGGACTTTCAGGAGGAGGTTTTGAGGGCACCCACAAGCGGCCCGAATCCTTCACCATCAAGTGACTTGATTTAAAGTCAACAGGGTAGTCGCTGATATTCTGAAAGCCGAGGTTTGACAAGAGCAGCTCGGTAGGATGTAGGCCGTCAGTTCTTTGGTGTCTAGGCCGGCGGGCATCAACCTGTGCTACTGGCAGCTGTGATGGTCGCGTGCCTTCAGTTCACTCTGTGTGTGTGTGTGTGTGTGATTCTGGTGACCTGCACAGTACTTGGAATGCAGCGATGAAATATGGGCAGCTGGCATGAACTGTTGCGCCTCATTCCTAGGTGGGCGGTCTGGCTTGGGCAGGACGGGATCAGTTGTCACAAGCTTCTCTGACTCATGTTGACTCATCGACCCCATGCGTTCCGACAGCATTGCGAAACGCAACCAGGAATCATACACAACACGCGCGAGTCCCTGTCAGGATTCAGCTAGGAGGCGAACACGATTTGCAACATGCTTTCCAAGGAAAAAGACAACACTAAACAGGAGGTGTGGAAGCCGGTGAGAGCGAGTGGGGGGGGGTGGTGTGGTCGCTAATGAGCCCAAAAATCAGCCAGAGTCCCAGGGACGGAGCGCGGTTACGTTGGCGTGTAGGAGGTAGGGGAGGGGTGGGGGAGGCGCCATAGAGGAGAGCCCCAGGCAGATAAAGGGTGCGGCGCGCGGAGGGATGGACGAGGTGAAACAGCGAGGTGGGGGACGGGGGACGGTGAGAGAAAGAGGCAAGACGAAGAAACCCTCAAGGTAAATCGGCGGGTTTTAGGTTCCATGACAAAATGGCAAGTTTAGTTTGGCATGCCAGGCTTTTCATGATATCCAGAGTTAACCCCAATTATGTTCGGCTCTCCCAAATGCAAGTAGTTTACATATTTTATTCTTCTATTTTAATACATGTGCATAGTTGGTGACTGATCTCAATCGGGTCTCGATTGTGCAGGCGCACCATGGTCCAAGGGCCAAGGCCTGGCTGCCCAGAGCAGACCGTGCAGAAGCAGGAGAGCTGCACAAGCCGCTGCGCGAGCAAACCGTCCTCGGAGGCAGGATGCTCAGGATGCGCTAATGAGAAGCATGGAAAAGCTCTCGATGTGGTCTTTTGCCAGGATAGCGATGCGTCGTCTTCATAACATATCATGACACACACACACACACCCGCACACACACACACACACACACACACACACACACACACACACACACACACACACACACACACACACACACACACACACACACACACCCACACACACACACACACACACACACACACACACACACACACACACACACACACACACACACACACACACACACACACACACTCAAGCAACCTTCCTGACAGCCAATACTGGTACCGCCGATCTGCGAGCCACATCAGCTTAGACAGGCTAAGCCTGCTGTCACTGAAGTACATCATGCTCCTGAATACCTCTGATGTTTCAAACTGGTGTTGACATTGCAATCCCAAGGGTGTCTTGGGGCATGAAGGTGAAATGGCGATTTTTTGCCAGACAGGCCAGACACAAGGAATGGCATGTGCAACCTTGATGAGATGATGCAAACATGAGGTAGGGTCCTGCCTCGCTGTACCAGACTCAGAGGAATGGTGCAACACGAAATGAAGTGGACAAAATGAGGGTGAGGGCCCTGCCAGCTACTCTGTACAGAGTCCAGGCACAGACCAATGCAGGTACGTTTACCTGGGGTGTGGGGGGGAGCTTCGATGGGCAGAGCCACCCCACACACCCCCTCTGCCCCCCTGCACAAAACAAATGAGGTCGACGGTTGAAACCCTTGGTTACAGGGTTGGACACACACAAGAAGCCAAGAAGACCAAGGATTGCACGTCGACCGTGCACGTGCACTTGTCGAAAAGGTTTTATTGCGCCGGGCGTGCATAAGCCCAGAAATCAGGGTTGGAACTGCATCGGCAAAAGAACGAAAATGATGTCAGGCCGAGTTTCAAGCCTAATGTTTGCCTGGCCGTAGCCAGCACTCTGCCCGAGGCTAGATCTGTGCCATGGACCCATGCGGCCCACTCTGCCGGCGCCTTGGGCGGACCCGGGAAATGCACAACAGGAAAAGCCAAAACTACCGCTTCCAACGCCGGCGTTTAAACGCATACGCTCGACGTCTGCACCTTTCGGAAAAACGCATCCCGCTCACTGAGTTCTGATCGTCCTGTTGCCAGCTGTCGCACCAAGAACTTTTTCCACTCACGCGGCTGCTGCTGTTGGGAGTTCCAGTTCTGTCCAGACCAAGACATGCTTGGAGAACAAAGGACGGGATCTACACTACTCGAAAAAACGTCAACACCTGATGGCTGCAGGAGGGTAAGTCATAAAGACCTCTGATCTGCGCCTGAATACCACCGTACAACAAACAACAAACAGCAAACAGCATCAACTGCCCTGCACATCATCCAAGTCTGCAGGATGGGTCCCTGCTTCGTCATGACAAAATCTGCAGGATACTGCACGGGCAACCCCGCCGCAGGCAGCGTTCTGAAAGACGTAGGGACAAGCCCTACACTGCCTGGAACACACTCAAGCAACCTTCCTGACAGCCAATACTGGTACCTCCGATCTGCGAGCCACATCAGCTTAGACAGGCTAAGCCTGCTGTCACTGAAGTACATCATGCTCCTGAATACCTCTGATGTTTCAAACTGGTGTTGACATTGCAATCCCAAGGGTGTCTTGGGGCATGAAGGTGAAATGGCGATTTTTTGCCAGACAGGCCAGACACAAGGAATGGCATGTGCAGCCTTGATGAGATGATGCAAACATGAGGTAGGGTCCTGCCTCGCTGTACCAGACTCAGAGGAATGGTGCAACACGAAATGAAGTGGACATGAAAATGAGGGTGAGGGCCCTGCCAGCTACTCTGTACAGAGTCCAGGCACAGACCAATGCAGGTACGTTTACCTGGGGTGTGGGGGGGAGCTTCGATGGGCAGAGCCACCCCCACACCCCCTCTGCCCCCCTGCACAAAAGAAATGAGGTCGACGGTTGAAACCC